TTTTTTTTTTTTTTTTTTTTTTTTTTTTGTAATCCAGGGTTCCCCGCTTCGCAGGTCATTCCCTGGGCCTGATCAGGCAGCGATCCACTTCACCCGGGAGGGTTGTACCTGGACCTAGGCCCAATACCACTTTAGTGACATGGAAGAGGTAGTTCGCCACCGCCTGGTGTCGAATCCGTGAGCATGACAATTGGCCCCCAAGGTTCTTTGCTAAGTGGGCTACCTCATCCCGTCAGGGATTATAGCTTCACAGAATCATATATCCATTTTTGGGCCAACAACCTCAGGTGTATTGTGAGCAGAAGACAATGAAATCAATTAAAAAGATGTGTGTTACTTTTCTTTGAGATTGTTTGCAGCTACAGCAACTCATCAGACCAAGAGCAAATACTTTTCTTGCCAAGCATCAAACAACAAGTTACTAACTTCGACCTTGGAAACTTCTTCTCCATATCAGTGTACAACAAGTTTTACATTCGGAGTCAACTGAAACATTCAGGCTGTTACATTGGAGATGCTGATTCATCACTGAATCTGACAGGAAGCCCATTCTTCATAACAGAGAGTAATCTGTTCACAGCTGTTGGATGTAACAACAAGGCGTCTATGAACGCTACAGGGTTACAAATCCTGGGATGTGAAGCGACATGTGGGACTAAGATACGGCCTTACAAAGATGCTAACAAGAGATGTATTGGTTACAAATGCTGTCAGATGACTATACCACCTGATCTTCAAGTGTTTGATGCAACCGTGGATAAACTTGAACCAGGTAAAGAAGGATGTCAGGTTGCCTTCTTGACACAGTCTACCTTGTTCACGCCCCCTGAGCTATCAGAGTACAATAATTACACGACAGTGAAAAGTTTAACTTACAATGCAGGTGGAACTCTAAGCTCTGGACTGTTTCTTCGTGTCATTGGCATGTGGTTGCTATGCAAGGCTAATAGAAAGCGGAAAGCAGCCAAGCAGAAGAGGAAGTTCTTCAAACGAAATGGAGGATTGTTGTTACAGCAACAAACACACTTCCTTCAAGGCAGTGTCAACAGAACCAAGCTGTTCAGCTCCGGTGACCTGGAGAAGGCAACTGATAAGTTCAATGCGAGCAGGATACTAGGGCAAGGTGGGCAAGGGACCGTTTACAAGGGGATGTTGGAAGATGGGATGATTGTTGCAGTCAAGAAGTCCAAAGCACTAGAAGAAGAGAATCTTGAGGAGTTCATCAATGAGATCATCCTTTTATCACAGATTAACCACCGAAACGTTGTCAAGATCTTAGGATGTTGTCTTGAGACAGAGGTACCTATGTTGGTGTATGAATTCATTCCCAACCGCAACCTATTTGATCATCTACATAACCCATCAGAAGACTTCCCAATGACTTGGGGAGTCCGTCTCCGCATAGCCTGGGAAGTTGCAGATGCACTCTCTTACCTGCATTCAGCAGCCTCTATCCCAATCTATCACAGAGATGTCAAGTCAACAAACATCTTGCTGGATGAAAAGCACCGAGCAAAAGTATCAGATTTTGGGATCTCGAGGTCTGTTCCTCTAGATGATACTCACTTGACGACAGTGGTGCAAGGAACAGTTGGATATGTAGACCCAGAGTATCTCCAGTCAAACCACTTCACAGGGAAGAGTGATGTCTACAGCTTCGGAGTTGTGCTTATTGAACTTGTAACTGGAGGCAAACCTGTCTCCCTTCTGAGGCCACAAGAAGTCAGGATGTTGGGAGCTTACTTCCTAGAAGCCATGAGGAATGACAGACTTCATGACATTCTCGATGCTCGCATCAAGGAGGAATGTGATCAAGAGGAAGTTCTTGCAGTAGCTAAACTTGCACAGAGGTGTTTGAGCTTGAACTCAGAACATCGCCCTACCATGAGAGACGTCTTTATTGAACTTGATAGGATGCAATCCAAGGGAAAAAGCACTCAGATCCAAACACAGAATGGTGAAGAGCATGATCAAATCCGTATCGCAATACCAGAGTCCATGTCGCTCAGTTACACTTCTCCTGACATAGTCGTTGAAAACAGCTCATTCTCACTGTACTCAAAACCACTGATGCCTCACAAGACACAGTGACTGGAAAAATCTACGCTCTTCACCTTCCAAGATCTATAAAGAATGATACGCAATGAACCTTCTAGGTCTTATAACTTCTGTGGTAAACCATATTTTCATTCAATAGTTCCTCAGTCTATAATTTATTTTACCATGTCTCTGAAGGATTCCTCTTATCTGCACACTATCTAACAAGTTGAAAGAAATATAAACTAGACTACAAAAGAAGAAAACTATTGTATCACTCTTATTTAATCTCTTAACGTATTTGAAGCATACACATGAATCATTCTGGGTATCTACAATGGACACATAACAAAAGATACATTTTCTAACACTCAAATAACAGAGAAAACATGAATCTTCTCTAACCCTGGCAATCCACTGGTAACCATCTTGCTGCAACCATTTCATACAGAAGCTTCTTACTCCAAAGATATAATATTATAGGTTAATCTATCCGGCAACTTGCAGATGCACTCTCCATGAATAGATTCCACGCACATTCCATGAATATTAGTCAGCTACAGCGCAAGGTTACCATAAGGTGTTACTAATACCTTTGCTGGAAAATAAGCAACCATAATAGACAGCAAAGCAGCACGTAAGGCTATAATTTTAAATTCCAAGCTGCCATGAAAAATTATTATATGCTAATTTGCTCTTATCATATCCACAAGCGATGCCCATATGGAATAGCAAAGTTACATGTTTGTGAAAAAACCTTAAAGCAGATACTAATGAGAAGATTCTTCCAAGGACACACAACCAATGATGGACCCACCAGCAGGAAGGCACATTGGTTTGGTCTCTCTCCAATGCAGAGGCCTATCCAAAGGGTTACATACCCTCACCACAGACAATCTCACAATGTCAAATCTCCCTGCACCCGTTTCTTCCCATTTAAGAACCTTCCCTCCTATAACATATAGCTCATTCCTCAGAGCTGCAAATCCGTATCCAAAGGCCTCTAACTCTCTCGGATGATTAGAAAGAACAACAGAAGGAACTGCACCAACATTGTACCATTCTCCTTCATCTGTATCCCTTGTCTTGATCAAGCTCTCTCCCCAATCCACAATCGTGTACACTCGGTCACTTCTCATCACCTGAACAGCAAACTGCATGGCTCTAGAGAAAGGCCAGATATCCTCAACAGTTGACCATTTCATCTCTAATGGATTGAAGACTTCAGAGAAACTTTGCTCTGCAAATCCCACCTGATCACTCAAAACATGAAAGGACCCTCTGTATGATAGCCCTGAGCAGTCCATCTGTGGTCTAGGCATTGCTGGTAACTCCTCCCACCTGCAATAGCAATGTCAGGCACCACTTTTGATAGTTTCCAACCATATATTTGATGAAAAATTGAAGAAAAATACCTATCAGCGACAGGATCATAAACCTCAGCAGACGCAATCCCTCTAGAATTCGTCAAATTCCGACCACCAGCAACATAAACCTTCCCAGAGACAGCACAACAAGCAAAGTGAGTCCTCGGCGTCCTCATACTAGCAACCATCCTCCACTCTTTCTTAAACGGATCAAACCGCATAACATCACCAGTAACAACAGGCTTCAGATGAGGAAACGAAGACACGGAAGGCGCATAACAGCCCCCAATCACAAGCAAACAATTCGAAACGCAAACACATGCGAAGCCGGAATGATGCCACCCATCTTGAACAGCTCTAGTTCTAGGCAAAGGATGCCAACGATCAGCTTCAGGGTCATAAGCAACCCATTGGTTCTTAGACTGTTCCGTGAGAACAAACAGCCACGTCCCTGACCATCCGTTTCTAGCTTTGAAGCAGGAGTAATCCGTGCTGCGAAGTAAGTCTCTCCACCCTTTGGAGACACACTCGAGGGCTCCGTGGTGGCCGTGAGAGAGCTTCGCTATGCATCGTAAAGCTAAATCGTCAGGGAGGCCTGGGATGATAGACTGTTCCATGGACTTCCCCTGAGAACATAATAGAATCGAATAAAGTATAGATCTTTGGATCAAGGAGGTAAAGGTGAGACTGATTAAAGAGATGGCTTACGTGATTTGAGCTTGAGAGATTGTAAAATGTAATTTGCGATCCTCTCTTCTCGAAGTTGATTTTAGGAAATTAAAGTTAGCAACTTTCCTGAATCAAAACACAATTAACGATTCCGAAGGGATAAGGGAAACGGAAACTATAATCAGATTGATCTATTAGAGGCTGAACCAAGCACACACCTCGGAGAGCAAATCAAGTTTAGACGGAGAGGAAGAAGACGACCGAAATGGATAGATCCACTATAAATGGGTTCAATTACTTTTCTCGTCCTTCACTTTTATATGTTTTGCTTTTTTGACACGTTACTTTTGTAAATAACTATTAACCCCTACATTCGACGTATTATAAAGAAACGACGTCGTTTCAGTTTCGAATACAGTATACAACTACTGTACATGAGATAAACGCGATCGCGCGAAACGCAAACATGGAGTTAAGATAAAATGGCGATTTATGAATAAGATATGCTCATCTGAGATTCTAAGCAAGGTTGACTGCATTAGTAGAAGCAAATATGTATATTTATATTTATTTTACAAATGGACCAACAAAGGCCACGCCTCAGAAGATAGCAAGCAACACAGGAGAGAGTGTAATTACAGTCGAAAGATAAATTCTCTTTTTTTTTTTACATATTCAAGATTCATGAAAAGAGTTTCCAGAGTCTCGGGTAGGTTTATTAAGCTCAGAACTCACGGTCAGGGAAGAGAATCGGAGCAACAAGTGACCAGATGAAGAGACCAGCAGTGGCCCAGCTTGTGACAACACGGACCCACACAGAAGGCCAGCCAACATCAACCAGCTTGCCACTTTCACCAACCGAAGTTGACCAACCAGTTAAGAGCATTGCAGAGTACATGCTCGCGAGGGAGAAGATGATGTGGAAGAACGCGTACGAGTATGTCACTGGCTTCTTCTCCTCTTTCTCTTCCTTGTCTTCTGCTTTCCCGTCTAGCGGAAGCAGTGGCTTCCCTGAACAATGTCCACAAAGCAAAACCCGTTAAAACACTTGGCAGCAACTTAACAGAAGAGATGCTTAACAATGTTGAGAACTAAATAAAAACCAAAGCATGAAACGGAATTTGGGACAAGGATTTATTGTGGAGACATACCTGCACGGGGAGAATCAGGAGAGGAGAGAAGGGTGGTGGAAGAACCAGCGCGAACAGCGGAATAAACGACAGAGAGAACAGTTGTGAGTAAACCAATGGTCATAGTTCCTGTTGAAACAGCTTTGGAGTGTTTGTGGAGACCATTGCATTCGTAATCTCTGGGTTCACTAGCAAGTCCACTGTAACAGAGGTACATGCAGTAGAAAGATATAACTGATGCTGGTAAAATGCTTCCACCAACCTACAAAACAAAGGTAAATTTGGCTTTACTGAGTCTGAAGATGAGAGAAATAAGAAATTAAAGGTTTTCAAAAAGTTAAAAACTTACAGCGGGATGCAAGACTACAACGGCAAAGACGAATACAAAAATCAAAGTCATGACAATGAAGAAAGTGTTGAGTCCACAATCATGTCCAGATGGAGTAAACCAATGGAAGAGAAGTCCAGAAAAGACGAATGTTGCCAAGTAACATACAAGAGAAACTACAAGCAAAGCAGCATACCTATATATTCAAAAAAAAAACTAGATTAGCAGAGGCAGAATGAAGTCATATTCACATATGATTGCAAATATTTATACTAACCAGAATTGCTCGTCGTAACCAACCCACGTGTCATTCCACCCATGAACGAAATCCAAAAGAAGCACAACTTGAACCAGAAGAAAAAACCCAGCACCAAACTTTGACATTGACTCTGAAAGATGTTAAATTGATTAGCATCAGGAGAATATAAACGAGATATAAGCAACGATAGATGAAATTTACCATAAAAGCTGATGACTTCATTAGGAACAAAGAACATTAAAATGACCAGTATGAACCAACAGATTACTTTCATCATCCAACCACCGTGGTGTATACCATCACGAGGGTCTTTCTGAGTCTTCACACCAATCATCATAACCGATAAAATCGAGAAAAACACAAAGTTCCCTAAGCTGACACGTAACACAGCATCGGTCTCAAACCATTCACGATCAGGTGTCTTATGAAAATGGTTAATCCCTACACAAAAACGTCAATCATTAGCTCCACAAGCGAAAACAATCTCATTGGAAGGGGAAAAACAGTTAAAAAAAATACTTACAAGGGAGCTTCTCCATGAGAGGAGCAGCAACCTCACGGAGAATCCATGAAACGATTAAAGAAAGTGCAAAGAGACCACAGTAAGCAATTCTTGCAGAACGTCTGCTGATGCTTGAAACCACTGTACGGCAAGCATCGCATGCACAAGCAGCACAGCACGATGCAAGACAAGAAGCTGCCCACATCTTCGAGGATCAAAGGTTGGATTCAATATTCAGCTGCTAGGTGTATGAGAAGAAACACACAAAAAAATACAAATCATTAAATTCATATAATTCTTCATCTAATCATTACTAAGTTATCACACACAAAAAAACCCTAATTTCAATTACCGATCTAAACTTTACATACAGAAACTAGTTTTACTGATCGAAATTGAGCTCAAGGAAGAAAACCCAAATCAATTCAGCAGAGAGGAGATCGAAAATACCTTTTGGCTATCGATAAAGGTTTGAGCTTTCCTCTCTTCTTCGAAAAGTAGAACACCTCCTCGATGTTTCCTTATTCTTGCTACCTAAAACAAGGAATGATTGGTAGTTAGTTAATCATCGATACCAAATATGATGAACCTCTTTCTTATTAAGCCCATTAATAGCCCAACTTATATATTACCCAATATTAAGCCCACTAATGGCTGAATGAATACCCACCCAATATGCCAAATTGCCAACATACTAATCAATGATGCAATGCAATGCATATGTTATTGAATTTTATTTTTCCTTCTGCATCTGGTATTGATACATGCAGTTACCTAAAAAATGAAAAAAAGAATCTGTGTCGTCCTGTAACTTTTGCTATTATAGAGAATCAGCAGGTTTACTTGTAATCCGAGTTTCTGAATCATGCTTCCAGAAACACACGCAAAAAGGTTCTAAATCTAGATCTCACCAAAAAAGAGTAAATACTACTATATAGTAAAATGTATTTTAGGTATATTTGTGTTATTAACTTATTATTATGTACGTGTTCGTTAAACAGCCTCTGGGTGCTGCAAGAGTCAGATGATAGATAAAAGCCATCTAGAACATGCCAATCATTATATCCAAAAACATGCATGCCCATCATCTTTAAATAACAAACTGGCAGCTAACACGCATTATCATTTTTTTTCCCTCTCTCTCTCTCTCTTTTTATAATTTATCTTTTCAAATATTAACAGAAAATCACTAGATTCCCGTCGTATGTTAATGTAACGGAGTTAACAAACCGCGTACGGCGACATCCGATAAATCGCCACCGCTCGATCAATCAATCTACGGAGCTGGAGAAAAGCAGCTGATTTTATCTTCTCCAGATCTCTAAACCGATTCTCTCACCTCTTCCTGTTTCACCCGGTTCGTTTTCTATATCTATTTCCCTCAGCTATCGACATGAAATTCTGATTATGAATCCTTAGATTCATCGCATGTCTCCTCGAAACTCTCTCTTTCTCCAATGTGCATTGACGACGGGATCCATAGGTTGATATTGACTGAAAATGACGTTAACCTTGATTCGTGCCTGTTAATTTCGTGTTTCCAAATTGATAGATCCAAATGTTCACATAATTGATCTCGAGATTCTAATTGCTTACGATTGATAAAAATCCAGATCGTTCTTTACACTCTGTTTCTCAATTTTTACAGGTTTGGTAAACAAAGCAATGGTTCTTGATGGGATTGTATCTTCACCATTAAGGAGACACACGTCTCTAAAGAAGCAGTGGGAAGAGTTGGGAAGCTGCTCCACGGTTGTTAACAGGCATCGATATCTCTTAACAGCATTGGTTCTTTTGGGGTTCCTCTGCACTATTTATCTTTACTTTGCTGTTACTTTAGGCGCTAGGGATAACGCCTCATGCTATGGCTTGACTGGGAATGACAAGGCTATCTGTCAAGCCATCTCTAAAGGGAAACTCAAATTGTTTTAGTACTATTGTTCTTGTACTACTACTACTACTACTGTATTCTTTTTTTCTTTTATTGATTCTATAATGCCATTTGTTGTGTATTGTGTGCCCCATTACGTTGTGGAAAACCAGAGATCCGTTTTGGAAGTATTTGCTAGCTACTAGCTTCTTCAGTCTGAATATAGTAAGTTTTGTTAACAGGGATGCTAAGCACCAAGCCCGTCTAGCTCAGTTGGTAGAGCGCAAGGCTCTTAACCTTGTGGTCGTGGGTTCGAGCCCCACGGTGGGCGTATTCTTTTTGCCTAGTCAGTCAATTTTTGTACCTTTTTCTGGTAAATTCCGTTGTGTGATAATTCTCTTTATATGGTAAAGATACGATTGGTAGAGTACTCTTATACATAGGAAGTCTGGCGATACAGAGACTAGTGAGAAGAATCTGACTGAGAAGATAAAGTACATAAACTAGGCAGAGGCTTTATCATTTGCATTTTAACAAAACATGGTTGAATTTCATCTCTCAAATCTGCCATCGTTGACTTAAGAATTTTGCAATTCTGAAACATTTGCTTGATTCTCTACGTGGAAAATAACATACCGTTTGTTCAAGCTACCAAAAAAAAAAACTTAGCCCTATTGTTGCCTCTCAATCTAACTAGCAATCAAGTCAAAACAAAAACTCATTCTGCAGATCCAGACACCATCAATCTAACTCTAGGCTACCTTCAAATTCTTGTGTTTCCTAAACAAGAACATCAAACTCAAGGAGAGAATCTGTCCAATAATGTAGCCGCCTATAGCTCCATAACACACACATATAGGCCACTCCTGTTTAAAAAAGAATAATAATATAATGATTAGTTATACTCAATGACCATGACCATGACCATGACCATGACCATGACCATGACCATGACCATGACCATGACCATGACCAGACCATGACCATGAGTCCATGACCATGAACAAGAACCAAGCTCCTGAATGTATAGTTCCGACTAAAGATATATATTACCTGCCATGGCCTTTCCCAGTCGAGTGGCATAGGCCAGGCTCCAAACCATCCACCAACAATTGATCCATATGTTGGAATAACGATCATATATTCTGTATTTTCATTTTGTCTGAAAAAAAAGAGAAAGATAGATTAAGTACATGAATTGTGTGAACTAACATATAAGTTATAACTTATAAGAATATATAACTTACTCCACGAAGCATATGCCAATCTGTCCACGATGCACCAAAAACTGCAGTTCCTGGTACGAACTATGAAATTAATCACTGTTAGAGACAATCAAAGGCAAACTGCAGACATACATACATATGCGCAGTAACAATATTATTACATCTTTTTCTAAGTCGTAGGAACTGCAGCAGGATACAGAACTTACCGTCAAAACAGACATTTGAAAGGACCAATGAATTGTTTATGGTAGATATATGCATGAGACGAGAAGTAATGGTCATGCTGGCATTTATGAAATTTATTGGAAAAGAAGACGTAGAGAAAATATATTGGGCCTTTCTGATTACATATGGGCTTACATATTGAAATATTAATGGGTCATCGTAGGCCCAAACTCATTATGAAGCGGTTGCCTGATAATTATCTTAAAAGCGCCGGTGAATCCAGAAGTCTCTGGTACTTCTGCGTGGCGAGTTCCCCGTCTTTCCACATCTCCGTGTCGAGTCCTCTCTCGAAATGTCTTGTTTCTCCGGTCCTGTCCTTTTATATAGCTTCTTCCCACCGATTCAAATCCCTCATCAAGCAGACTAACAAACAACGAACCAAACAAAACATTTACATTTTAGCGAAATCTCAGAACAACAATGACGACAAGATCTGAAAAAGCTGTCGGAATCGACCTCGGCACAACATACAGCTGCGTCGGAGTCTGGCTAAACGACCGCGTAGAAATCATCCCAAACGACCAAGGAAACCGCACAACCCCATCCTACGTCGCCTTCACAGACACCGAACGTTTAATCGGAGACTCCGCGAAAAACCAAGTCGCCTTAAACCCACACAACACCGTCTTCGACGCGAAGCGTCTCATCGGGAGAAGATTCTCCGACCCCTCCGTACAAAGCGACATGACTCACTGGCCGTTCAAAGTCGTCCCCGGACCCGGAGACAAGCCTATGATCGTCGTCTCTTACAAAAACGAGGAGAAGCAATTCTCTCCAGAAGAGATATCTTCAATGGTGTTGATTAAAATGAGAGAAGTCGCTGAGTCTTTCTTGGGACATACGGTTAAAAACGCCGTCGTTACGGTTCCCGCTTATTTTAATGACTCGCAAAGACAAGCGACTAAGGACGCGGGTTCGATCTCGGGGTTAAACGTTTTGAGGATAATTAATGAACCAACCGCTGCTGCTATTGCTTACGGTTTAGATAAAAAGGGGACGCAAACCGGTGAGAGGAACGTTTTGATATTCGATCTTGGCGGTGGAACGTTTGATGTTTCTTTGTTGACTATTGAAGAAGGTGTGTTTGAAGTCAAAGCTACTGCTGGTGATACTCATCTCGGAGGTGAAGACTTTGACAATAGACTAGTGAACCATTTCGTTGCGGAGTTTAGGAGGAAACACAAGAAGGATATAAGCGGGAACGCTAGAGCGTTGAGGAGGTTGAGAACGGCGTGTGAGCGTGCTAAAAGGACGCTTTCTTCAACGGCACAGACCACTATAGAGATTGATTCATTACACGAAGGTGTTGACTTCTACGCGACGATATCACGCGCGAGGTTTGAGGAGATGAACATGGATTTGTTCAGGAAGTGTATGGATCCCGTTGAGAAGGTTTTGAGGGATGCCAAGATTGATAAGAACCGTGTTCACGAGGTGGTTCTTGTTGGAGGTTCGACGAGGATTCCGAAGATTCAGCAGCTTTTGCAGGATTTTTTTAACGGGAAGGAGCTTTGTAAGAGTATAAACCCTGATGAAGCTGTTGCTTATGGAGCCGCTGTGCAGGCCGCGATTTTGACTGGGGAAGGGAGTGATAAGGTTCAAGATTTGCTTCTTCTTGACGTGGCGCCGTTGAGTCTTGGACTTGAGACGGCTGGTGGGGTGATGACTGTGTTGATCCCGAGGAACACGACTGTTCCTTGTAAGAAGGAGCAGGTGTTCTCTACTTATTCGGATAATCAGCCTGGCGTTTTGATTCAAGTGTATGAAGGGGAACGTGCGAGGACGAGAGATAATAATCTTCTTGGCACGTTTGAGCTCAAGGGGATACCTCCTGCGCCACGTGGAGTTCCACAGATCAATGTCTGTTTTGATATCGACGCGAATGGGATCTTGAACGTGTCGGCGGAGGATAAGACGGCTGGTGTGAAGAATCAGATCACGATCACGAATGATAAAGGGAGGTTAAGTAAAGAGGAGATTGAGAAGATGGTGCAGGATGCGGAGAAGTATAAGGCGGAGGATGAGCAGGTGAAGAAGAGAGTGGAGGCTAAGAACTCGCTTGAGAATTATGCTTATAATATGAGGAACACTGTTAAGGATGAGAAGCTTGCGCAGAAGCTGGATCAGGAAGATAAGGGGAAGATTGAGAAGGCGGTTGATGAGACTATTGAGTGGATTGAAGGGAATCAGTTGGCGGAGGTTGATGAGTTTGAGTATAAGTTGAAAGAACTTGAGGGGATTTGTAGTCCGATTATCTCGAAGATGTATCAGGGAGGAGGTGGTGGTGGAGTTCCTAATGAAGGTATGCCTGGAGACGGTGCAGCAGGTGGCTCTGGTGGTGGTGCTGGTCCAAAGATAGAAGAGGTTGATTAGAGGGGTGGGGAGACTTTGTTTAGTGTCTAAGTGAAGTGTCTTGATGTGTATCTAAGTGATGTTGTTGTGTATGCTTTACTCTATGTCAGTTTGTTACAAAGTAAAATAAAACAACGTGATCATCTAAGTACCAATATGTTTACTTGTTTTTGAATCTTCCAATAGTGTATGTGACATCAAAGAAGAGTGTTAAAGCCATATTAATGTTATAACAATTAATTAAGCATTAGTGAAGAACTTGGGCTTCTTGCTTCAGTGCAAGCTGCTTGGTGTCAAGAAGACAAAAGTGAGTGGGTCCTTTTTATAGCTATTTTTCAACGATAAGAATAAAATATTCATTTAAAAAAAGCCGATTATGGCAGTTTCGTAATTATCCCCTGATCGATTAATTAAGACTTTTGTCTTCATTATCCTGACATGATTACACGAGCAAACATTCCTAATCTGAGAAGCATTAATTAAATTTTAATGATTAGTAACACAAGTAACAACTTTACAGTAATCAAACCCATCTTATTCTCGGGTCGAGACGGGTCGAAACAAAAAAAAGATCAGCAAAGCGGAAGAACCAAATGCTTACGTGTTAAACAGTGATTGGTAAACGACCTTTTCTTCTCGATTCTTTGCTCTCTTCTCTCTCTCCTTTGCTCTGATTCGTTTCGTCCTCGATGAGAAAAGCTCCGTCTTTTACTTTCAGAAGTCAAAAGGGTTTTCTCGTCACTTCTCCAAAGACTTTTTCTCTGTGATTTTTTTTGCTCGCTTTCTCCTTGTTTCTAACCTCTGCTTTACTCGTGACTTCGCTAGAAAATTCTAAAGTTTCATTAGCTGTTAATGTAGCTGTAAAGTCTCGACCTTTCGATATTAATCTCTCTGAATCGTAGCAAAGTTTGTAGCTTTAGTGTTAGATCTGTGAATCCCACTAGCATTCTCTCATTTTTTTCGGTTAGAAACGGTTTAATGTCGGTTCCACCTCGATTCCGGTCTGCTGATTCCGGCGAGAGAGACTTCCGTTCGGTTCTTGGTCCGACCGGGAACAAGCTTCAGAGGAAACCACCGGGGATGAAGCTGGAGAACAAGAAGATGAGCATCATCGAGTCAAAAGACGAGAAGACGAAGAAAGCAGATACTCCTGCTTCACCAACGACGACTCTGAAGCAATGCTCGTCGCTTTGCTCTTCGCTTCTGAGAAAGAACAGTGCCTCCATGACTGCTTCTTATTCCTCTGACGCCTCGTCTTCTTGTGAGTCGTCGCATTTGAGCGTGGCGTCTTCTTCGAGGAGTAAGAAGGGTGTGAGGAGAAGTGGGTCTGTCTCATCAAATGGTACGTGTGTGGGGGTGAGAAGGAAGCAGGTTGATGAGAAAGATGCTGCTGCTACTGCTGCCAATAATGGTGAATGCTTCGCTGATGGTCGGAGAAGATGTGCCTGGATCACGCCTACGTCTGGTGAGAATCTCCTTTTCAGCTTCACTCTCTTTTGTATGGTTTAAAACGCCATTGCTATATGCTGGCTAAGCTTACATTATGTTATTCAGTGCAGTGGCTTACTTGTGTTGCAGAGTTCTAGACTTTATATAATAGAATTCTACGTATGTAGGATAAGAGTTACTTAGTGTCACGAGCATGTTTGAAAGTTATCTTCTTTATGCTGTTAGCTTTGTTTTCAATTGGCTAATAAGGTTGTTTTGCTTTCGTTCTTTGTAAAGACCCTTGTTATGTTACTTTCCACGACGAAGAATGGGGAGTTCCTATTCATGAAGACAAGTACGTCTCATCCTCAACTGCTTTTCTTTTATTAGAGATGTTCTTTGTTAATTATTAATAGTCTCTTACCACTTGTTTGACTTGTGTAGGAAGCTTTTCGAGTTATTATGTCTCTCTGGTGCTCTAGCTGAACTCTCTTGGACCGACATTCTCTCCAGAAGGCAATTACTCAGGTAACCTAACATCTTCGTAATCACGTTTGAACTTGTTGTGATGTCAAGCCATAAACTAGAGTCTTATATGAGCTCTGATCTCAGGGAAGTTTTCATGGATTTCGACCCAGTTGCTGTTTCTGAACTGAACGAGAAGAAGGTAATCTCTGCCATCTCCTTACTTTCAGAGGTCAAGCTACGGTCAATCCTTGATAACGCACGCCAGGTGCGCAAGGTAATATAAACCTCAACGCTTCTGATCTATGTTTCACAACTTTAATATATAAATCTTTCTGGCTGCTAATTCATTGCTTCATCCAGATTATAGCTGAACATGGATCATTTAAGAAGTACATGTGGAACTTTGTGAGCAACAAGCCAACACAGAGCCAGTTCAGGTATCAAAGACAAGTCCCTGTGAAGACATCAAAGGCTGAGTTTATAAGCAAAGATCTTGTACGCAGAGGCTTTCGCAGCGTGAGTCCAACGGTTATTTACTCTTTCATGCAAGCCGCTGGTCTTACAAACGACCACCTCATAGGCTGCTTCAGATACCAAGACTGTTGCGTAGATGGAGAGACAACAACCAAGGCCAAGAAGATTGAACGTGAGTGAGAAATAAATTTTAAGTGCAGTTCTGAAAGCTAATTGACGTGTTTGAGTACCATGTTTTTGCTTCCAAAGATTGTTTGACACAACGAGATTTTGCTACCGTAACGTGAAGTGATCTTGTGTTAGCTTTGTATAGATGTTTTTGGTTATTGGTTTATGCGTAGTAGAATGTTGCGAGAAGCTTTTCTTAGACCATGACATGTTTATGGAATGCAAATAAGCAAGAAAAATACTTTAGTCAAGTACTGATCTTCTAACCCCTTCTACACATAGTATCAATGTGTGTTAGAATGATAGCAAATAGCAAGGCATACATGTCTTAATGTATGTTTCAATATATGTTACAATAGACCAAACTGGTTCCATGATGAGAAATATATATGTCAGAAGACTCTACTAACAATAGCACTACGTCTCTGAAACAAGCAGCTTCACTAACCATATGCTTTGTTCATCGATCAACCTGTAACAAAAATAGTAACACCTTCTGCTTTATCAGCCTCTTCTCCCTGATCCTCAACTATTTTCTGTTCCTCTTCTTCAGCTTCATTTTCGACTTTACCAGTCTCCTTCTCCTCAGAAATATCCTCCTCAATCAATTTTGTGTCTGTAGTTGGCTCTTCTCGCACTTGTACCTCAGTTTCAGGTTCTTCATTTGGCTCTTTCACTGACTCTGGCTCTTCTCCATCAGTTTTGGGTTCTGCGGTTGCCTCTTTCTCTACCTCCTGCTCTTTTCCATCAGTATCGGGTTCTGCAGTTGACGTATTTGCAGACTTTATCTCTTCTCCATCAGACTTGGCTTCTGCATTAGATTCCTCAGGCGGTTCTTGATGATCTCTCTTACATCCAGACTCTGCATTTGACTCTTCCTCGATTTTAAGAATGTCTTTACACTTGGTTTCAGATTCTTCCTTGTCATCACATTCTTTTGGGATTTCTAGATTTATCTCTTCCTTCCTTTCTGGTTCATTGCTTCCGCCCTTCACCGCCTCTTTGGTTATTTTCCCTTGCTTTGTTGAGTTCGTTACAAGGTCTTTCTTCTTCGAGGATCTATATCCATAAATGTGAGAATATTCATTCAACGATCAAGCCTTCTACACCTATAACTACAATTATTGTAAAAGAAAAAAAAAATTCACACCTGACGTCTGAAGAACTTTTTAGCTCCACTTTCATAGACGCAGTTTTCCTTTTCTTGGCTTTATGCCTTCTTCTGCATTTTAAAGCAAACACTCAAGACTAAGAGGTCCCAAGCGGCTAAGTTAAAAACTGTGGAACGTTTCACTTACATGTCAGATAAAGGAGTAGAATCAGGTAGATCAATCTCCTCCTTTTCCTGCTTCAGCATATTGGGGGACAAATCAGTACTCGTGTCAATTAGTTTTCTTTACTTTTTTTAACAATGTAGGAAGAATCTCACCTCACTGATTATCTCCCAACGTTCTTTTTTAAGATTAAGCTCTTCAGAATCCCCATCCGAATAAGACACCTGTAAAGAACATCAGTATGGAAAATTCTAAATGAATCATTTATGCAACAAAGTGAAAGCAAATAGCAGTTACAAAAATTCACCTCATGCATCTTCTTCAGACTATTATAGGACTTTATGACGCCATCATAAAACCTGTAAGAATATAGATGATAGAGATTGATAACGTTCATCACACCACACAGTATCCAAAACGAGAGATGTCTTTCGCATAACACTTACGTCTTGTCAAGTGGCCACCAGACTTTAACTCTCTTACCAACCAATTCCTCACCATGCTCACTCTTACTGGACTCCTGCAAAGAGAAAAATAGACCATATGAAAACAAATCAAAGCGTGATAGAGTAGACAGAGAAGGAAAAAATCGCACCACTTCCTCTACAGCTGTCCGTTTCCTCTTGAGGGATTGTTCAGATTCTTTTTTCGAAGGCGTCATTGCACGAGAACTCTTCTTCTGAACAGTTTATCCAATTATGAGTTCAAGCAAGCAAAGAGAGTTCAGATTATCATAAAAAAAAAACATGGTTCATCAAATCTACTACCTTGCTCTCTGATGACTCGGCCATGCTTGCACCTTCTGAATTCTTTTTCTTGGCACCTGAGTGGACTGATTTTTCAGAAGGCTTCTTGGCAGATGTTTTCGCTAAACCATTCTGCCCTGTCTCCTTTCTAGATTTTGCAAGTGGCTTCTTTGCAGATGTTTTGGCTGAACCATTCTGTCCTGTCTCCTTTTTAGATTCTACAAGAGGCTTCTTTGCAGCCGTTTTCGCTGAAGTCTTCTGTGCTTTCTCCTTTTTAGATTCTGCAAGTGGTTTTTTTGCAGCTGTTTTCGCTGAACCTTTCTGTACTTTCTCCTTTTTAGATTCTGCTAGTGGCTTCTTGGCAGTTGTTTTCGCTGAATCCTTCTGTGACTTCTCCATTTTACTTGACTTTGCAGTCTTAGTGCTATCTTCTAGATCATCTTTCTTCACAGTCTGTGTCTTTGATGCTGAACCCTTCTGTGCTTTCTCCATTTTACTCGACTTTGCAGTCTTAGTGCTCTCTTCAGGCTTTTCAAGGCCAGTTTCCATTAAATCTTCTTTTGCTTCAGGATCATCTTTCTTCACAGTCTGTTTCTTTGATGCTGGTGTAGCTAAAGAACTTGCATCAAGATCTGTCTCTTCCATCTTACTCCTGCTTCGTTTACGCGACCCCTTCCTAGCCTTACTAGAGGGTGAGAGAGATATAACAACTGACTGACTCGTTTGACCAACTTTACTTGGCAAAGATGTTTTCTTGGCAGCCACCTTTCCAAGCGACGAAACCCCAAGTTCTTTTTCATGCACCTTCTTTTTGCTTGATGACGTCTTGAATGAATAGCCTTCCTCAGGATTTATCAGAGAATTAGGTTTCCTCTTCCTAGTAGACCCTGATTCAGTCTCTCCGTCTGTACTTTCAGATTGCCCTTGCTTCAAAAGTTGTTTCAAACCGTTACCATTTTTTACATTGTCATCTCCATTGGCGCGAGCTCCACCTCTTGCAGTTCTCTTGGACCTAATCCCCTTGGGAGAAAGTCCCAAATCCAGTTTTGCCTAAATCAAGATATTTTTGAAGATATTGGTTAAGCAGCAAACAATATGAAAGGGAGCTAAACACTGACAATGAATAAGCCTCCCTAATAAAGTACCTGCAATGAATCACTTGGAAGTACTTGTTCTTGTGATATCTTTTCTTCTCCCTGAAAAAACCAACGATGATAAAGATTTAAGATTCAACCACAATACTACTGCATAAACAATCAAACCAAGAGCTCAAAGGCATTAAAAATACCTCAGTTTCTTTGAGGTTACCAACAATGTGTGCTTCAGCAGTGGCAGCTCCGGTTTGGCATATTGACGAAACTACTGGAGAATACATCTCCAAGCTAGTCCCTGTGGACTTCAAAGCTTCCATGATGTCCGGTTGAAGCTTACAGGCGCAACTAATGAGAACCTTCTCCACAAGCCTCGAAGCCACTGGTGAAATATCCTACACCAAGGGACAAGATAAATGAAATCTCAAGTATATTGAAAAGCTTGGAGACTTAGATATTAGTTTAGATTAAACTCACCAGGCTCTGTTTTTTGACAGGACCCAAGAGAATCTCGAGCAAATCCATGGATACTTCTTCACTTTCATCTATAACTGTGACCATTATCATTTCCATTGAAAGAAGTACCGGTTGAGGACAATCCGGGGTCAATCTTTGCAGAAAATAAAAGCCATCAGCGTTACATACACCACATAAGAGTTAATCAAACATTGTTAACTAAGGCTCTTTTTCTACCTTATGATTTTCAAGAACTGCCGAAACATCTCAAGAATAAGGTCATCACACTCCAAGTCCAACATCACCAAGGATGATCTGACTTTAGCAACAGTATCAAGCACGGCCTCAGCTTTCTTATAACTATTACAGGAAGCATCCGCAAGTTTTCCAAAGGCCTCTACTGTCACCTCAAAGACCTCCTGTAAGCCAGAGAAATGCCATGTGAGAGAGATAACATTAAAGAAGAAAAACAGTGCTACTTAGAGGAAACACACAAACCTTCATTTGGTCATCGTCATAAGGGGCCTCTGGAGCAGTAATCCTCATGATTTCGGTTAAGCAGGAGACGACGTAAACCCTAACATCAGAATCAGGGTTTCTCAAGAGATCAACAGATACCAAAGCTTGCATCGATGGTTTCAAGGCGTTTTTCAATTCTACAATAGGATCTTGATCAACAGCTAGGAGCAGAGACTCAACTTTCTGCATAAAAAATCAGATAATTGAGCATCATAAACCCTAAAAGATTTCAACTTTCCGAAACATTGAACTCCTAATCGATTCTTATGCCCTAATCTTAAACAGAGTAACTTCACCAAGCAACAAAAACCCTAATCTTTTCACAAGAAAGAAGAAACCCTAATCGATTCTTGTGCCCTAATCTAAAACAGAGTAATTTCACCAAACGAAAGCAACACAAGGAATCGTACATTGAGAATGTCAAAGATGGCATCAGTAGAGGAATGAGTGTTGAGGAGATCGTTTCCGGCTTGGAGGAGTGCTTCGCGAAGTTCGGTCTCTCCAACAAGAGGACCCATCTTTTGGTTCTTGTGTGGATTCAAAAACCCTAGAAAATAAGTTCGCCGAACGGAAAGCCCTCTCCTCGCCGTTCAAGTCTTTTGAGCAACGAGAAAGAGACAAAAAGAGGTGACAACTTTAACGAGTCTGATGCGCTTTTTTATATCTAACATTCAAGAACTGCTCATGAACCGGCATCCATAGAAAAGAATATTAAATAACTAAAAAGACATTAAGTCTTCATAAGTCAGTTATGTCAAAAGTGTTAACAAATGTGGAGACATAATCTGATTCTAACACGTGTGTTTTCTCTTGTTCAGAAAAAAAAAACATGTGTTTTCTCATTTGATTATATGAGTAATTTTTTTTTGTAATCATAATTAGTAGTCTCTACATATATTACACAATGCACTTATAATACCAGAATTGCCTAACCGATGGGGATGGGGTCGTTTCTTCCCGCCCTTGTTCAGGAGCTTTTCACTTAACAAAAACTGAAGTTTTGAATGTGTTTTTGCATTAGTGTAAAAAACCATAGTGTTCCTTAAAGTGACAGCATTAACAGGAATCAAATATGATATGAATTTTATAGGGTAGGACTGTTAGATAACTCAGTTAACAATCGACTTTGTAAACTGATAGTATAACATGTTCTGTTCGTATATTTGTTAAGAATATCCACTGTATATCACAAATTGATTAAGTTTTATCTGTAAACTTTTCAACATTTATTTAATGAAAGTGGGCAAAGAAAACTCAACCAAGCAAATAGGGCACTAGAAGTGTAGAGCCTATATAACAGCAAAACTTGTTTATATGCCGAACAAATCTCGAGATGTGTCTGCTACATATTAAATATCAAAACCAGTAGAAAACAGCATTGAGAATTTGAGATTGAAAAACATTTGTAAATCGAGATTTCAAATGCTTCTTAAAGCTTAGTTAGATTCAATGTGCTTCTTGACGATGTTGAGTGCAGTCGTGTCCTCACCGTAGTCCTGAAACAGCAAGAAAACACATTAAGTAAATAACACAATACAAGAAGAAAACGAAATTAATTGTATAAATAAGAGATTTCTCATCGACATAGATTGCAAGTATATACCTTGACCACAAGGCATGAGCATCCAACAACCTTTCTAGCATTACCCTCAGAGTCAATCTTACAGAGCTGAAACAACATCAAATATTCAAACATTCATTCATAAATAAATACGCTTTTAGTAAGCCATGCATATACGGAAAATCACAGTAGAAGGACTTACACCAGCCCATTCACCGAGTGTCTTGGCACTTGGAACAGTAAGCAAGTTGATGCTGTGATCAGCGCAAAGAGCCTTAACAAGCTTTACATAATCAGGCTGGTTACAGTCTTCAGCCAATACACAGAGCTGAGCAACACGCTTCTCAATAAGCTTAGCGCTCTCATGGAGACCACGAACAACACCACCATGAGCACGTGCTTTCCTAAGAGTCAACTCCAATGCAGTCAACAAGTCCATGTCCTCTGGGATTGCCGCTGCCTCAACAACTGGAGGAACAACAACTGGAGCAGCAGCCTCTTCACTGTATAATAAAAGAATCACGATTCAGACAAAACACAAACCAAGAATAGAAGACATCTACATTGTATCTCATCAAGTTCTAACTATAAAAAAACATAGATTTAATTAAACTAATTAAAACAAAAATTATCAACAGACAATGAAAACAACATCAACGATGCAAGTAGACATTTCATTACAAAAAGACAGATCATCATACAAACATAAGAACACGAACTAATAAAAAAGATGGTCAGAGAGGAGAATCTTACCCCGACATGTTTGTCTCTTTCAAATGCTTTTACAAACTAAAAGTTGTTGTATCTGCCAATATTAACCAAAAGCAACCATGGACCAGATTAGAATCGTGAGAAACAGCACAGAGTTTGAGGAAGTGAAAGAGACTAACCTCAGAGACGAAGACGGCTACGGCGGAGGAAGAAACTGCGAATAACAACTTATATGTTACTAAAACCCTAATTTTACCAGAACAGATTGGATTGTGACCTATTGATTAGTGTGTAGTTGCACTGGAAAGTAAGAATGGTCTTTAAGGCCCAATAACTAATTGAAATATTATCTTAAAGGCCCAAACATTATGAAGCTTAAAATGGGCCTGGCAAAGCCACCATGTGTATATCACGTGCCACCAGTAAGTTTGAACTTTGACTGGGTTAAAAGCTTCGTCAGCGTCGAGTTACTTACAGATTACGTAAAATGGAACCGACACGCGGAAAAATGATGTCTGCGTCTTCGAACCAACTCTTTTCTTCTTCTTCTTCTTTCGATTTGACCCGGTTTTACTTCTGTTGAAATCGAATCAACTGGATCGCATCTTCCAGGGGGGGAACTCGAAGGTTTGGTTTATTAGGAGGAGGAAAAAGGATAAACCTTATTTCAAAAAAAGGTAGAGATTTTGATTGATTCAAATAGGAAAACCATGGACGTTCCTAGCTCTTGGGATGCGTTACGTAAACAGGTAATCTTGTTGACAATTCTTTAGGACAGAACTAACGAAGCTAGTTGTGTCTGAGATTTTTGAATATTGGATCTAAACCTGCAATGTTTAAGATGCATTATTGTCTTCTGATTACTTAAATGAAGATGCTTTGTGTTATCTGCGTTTGGATATTGACAGGCTAGAAAGATTGAAGCTCAGCTTGATGAGCAGATGCATTCATATCGCAGACTTGTTTCCACTAAGTCAGATGGTGCAGAGACGAGTGATCTTGAAGCTGGGATTGACTTACTGCTAAAGCAACTTCAACAAGTTAATGCTCAGATGAAAGCATGGGTTTCTTCCGGTGGTTCAGACATGGTCTCTCATACTTTGACTCGGCATCAGGAGATCCTTCAAGATCTCACTCAAGTAATGATCCCTTTTCTGACTCACACGATTTAATATTCACTTTTATTTTTTTTAGCTTGGGATGATTATATGCTGGTCAGGAATGGAATGTATGTTAACACTTGTTCTGTTTGGACTAGTTTATGACTCAATCTTTGTTGTAAATCAGTCTTGTGAATGTATGACTCATTCAAAAATGCAGGAGTTTAATCGACACCAATCCAGTTTTAGAGAAAAACAAAAGCGTGCTTCACTTCTAGAAGAATTTAAAGAATTTGATCGGACTAGATTAGACTTAGAAGCTGGGGATGGGTCGTCAGAACAAGCACTGCTTAAAGAACATGTAGGAATCAACCGCAATACCGCGCAGGTAAATGACATCCTACCACAGTAAATCTTTGTTTTATACTCTACAGCTGTATCACACCGTATAGCTTATGTGAACTGACTATCGTATAAACGGTAGTACAGATGGATGGTGTCATTTCACAAGCTCAGGCCACACTTGGCACACTTGTCTTTCAACGTTCAACTTTTGGAGGCATCAACTCAAAGCTTAGCAATGTCACCAGCCGTCTACCCACGGTACAAAGAGCTTTTCCTTTCTCTTATTTGCAGACTTTTTTGCACTTTGCATTCTATTTGTGTGGGTATGTCATCCGTATACCTCACTGTACAATACTATGGTTGAACCCACTGCAGGTGAACACTATTCTGTCAGCTATAAAGAGGAAAAAGTCCATGGATACAATCATTCTTTTACTCGCTGCGGCTGTTTGCACATTTCTCATATTCATCTACTGGTTAACCAAGTAACGATCTCTCTGTGTTGGGTCACGCCCGTGTTGTTATTTTGTTATCATTGATGTTCTAGTAAAGAATGTACAGATCAAAAACATAAATATTTTCTGTACAGCAAGCAAACTTTGTCCCCATATTTGCAGTTTAGACGAACTTATACAAACTTTTTCTAGCTGTGTAGTATGTTCCCACAGTGGACCAATTCACCATTGGGCCATTGGCTTAATAATACAACTGGATACAATCTCCAAAACATAGTGTGTTTCCCCTCAGGAACCTGCAAACTAAACCGATACATAGAGTTTAGTCATTCAATATCGGACTAAACCACAGAGGTAAAGAGGGTTTGCAAAAGACTGGTCTGAAATGATTACTTCTCACCCAAGTAAAGGACTTGAGGTTGAGCTTTCTCAGGCTTGTTTTTCACGAATCCACTCCACAAAATTGTTTAGGACCAACGGCCATGCAAGCTCTGGATTGTATTCCGTCATCTCCGGGAAACTAATCTGTAAATGTTGAAAACACTTTCAGATTAGTTGATGAAACTGCCAACCAAGCCGGGAACTAAAAAAAGAATTAGGAAACATACTTCATTGCAGAACCTGTAAAAGCCCATCCATTGATCCATGTCTATGACTTTGTAGTGGTTTTGGATCTGTTTTTCAAACATACAAAAACCAATCATGAGATATAGGAAAACATTTTGGTCATGACTCATGAGAAACTATGAGACTTTGTTAGTGATACAAACCTTTAAATACTCGACAAAGTAGTCAACTTGGGGGCGGAATATAGATCCCATGATGTTATCTAGGAGCTGACATATGGTCTCTATGTCTATGCTCTCCTGTTTTTCCTCTTGACATAAAAAAACATCACACAAACACAGAAAAGCGATAGCTTATGAATTCGGCCATGGAGTGTCCACTTAGAAAGTCCACTCATTATTAGTGCACAAAAAAAAAAGTCCACTTATTATTTTCATTTTTCATCCATTAAATTAGATCAGATAAGTTTATTTAAAAAATGAAAATATTGAGTTGGCAAGTAGAAGACAAGTGTGAGTGATGTGGATTCTGGTGAAGTTGTTTCTGAATTCTAATTGGTCAGATATCTATCCACGACAGCCTCTGAGATTTCATCTATAGATATTCTCATCATCTCTCTCCCTTTAAAATCTCCTCTCTTTGTTTCTTTCTCCTCCGAAAAAAACAGAGCACTCAAAAACAGAGGAGACATATTAGAGATCTCATGGCGATGGCTGTCTCCGGAGCTGTACTCAGTGGACTTGGTTCTTCCTTCCTCTCCGGAGGCAAGAGCAGTACCGCCGCCGCATTAGGAAGCGGCGTAGTCTCTGGAGCTGCGAGAGTTGGTCGGAAAACTCTGATCGTAGCTGCCGCCGCTGCTCAGCCCAAGAAATCATGGATCCCCGCCGTTAAAGGAGGCGGCAACTTCTTAGATCCTGAATGGCTCGACGGCTCGTAAGTCTACTCACTCAAATCTCTCAACGTCACTAGCATGATCAATGGTTAATGATGACTCTTATTCATGAACAATCATAATTTTGCTCGTAGCTCTGTTTTTGTAAAGTGAATCCTTTTAAAGTTGTGAACTTTATGAGTCAAAATGTGATCAAATGGTTAATGATGATACTCAAATCTCTCAACGACACAAGCATGATCAATGGTTAATGAGGATACTTAGTTTCGTGAACAATCATCATTTTGCTCGTAGTAGCTCTGTTTTTGGCTCTGTTTTTTGTAAAGTGAATCCTTTTAAAGTTGAGAACTTTATGAGTCAAAATGTGATCAAATGGTTAATGATGATACTCAAATCTCTCAACGTCACAAGCATGATCAATGGTTAATGATGATCCTTAGTTTCGTGAACAAACATCATTTTGCTTGTAGTAGCTCTGTTTTCGGCTCTGTTTTTTGTAAAGTGAATCCTTTTAAAGTTGAAAACTTTATGTGAATACTTTCTTTTTTTTTTACAGGCTACCCGGAGATTTCGGGTTCGACCCACTGGGTCTCGGAAAAGACCCGGCTTTTCTAAAATGGTACAGAGAAGCAGAGCTAATCCACGGCCGTTGGGCAATGGCAGCGGTTCTCGGTATCTTCATCGGACAAGCCTGGAGCGGCGTTCCCTGGTTCGAAGCCGGAGCCGATCCACGTGCCATCGCACCGTTCTCATTCGGATCACTACTCGGGACACAGCTCCTTCTCATGGGTTGGGTTGAGAGCAAACGGTGGGTGGACTTCTTCAACCCGGATTCTCAGTCTGTTGAGTGGGCCACACCGTGGTCGAGGACAGCAGAGAATTTTGCTAACTATACTGGTGATCAGGGGTATCCAGGTGGGAGATTCTTTGATCCGTTGGGTTTGGCTGGGAAGTCACGTGACGGTGTTTATGAGCCGGATAGGGAGAAGCTGGAGAGGTTGAAAGTGGCGGAGATTAAGCATTCTAGGCTTGCGATGGTTGCTATGTTGATCTTTTATTTTGAGGCTGGTCAGGGGAAAACGCCTCTTGGTGCTCTTGGTTTGTGAGCATGTATGTTTTAGTATGTTAGATAAACTTGTGTTCTCTTCTTAGTCAATGTGACATGTCGAGAAAGATCATAATATTGCTTTAAAATGTCATCAATTCATGAGTTTAGGTTGAGAAAAATGTAAAATTATAACATGAAAAGGCTTATACACAACTAACTTTATCGTCACAATCCAAATGTGAAAAGAAATGCCTGAGAAATGTGAAATTCCTTTTCCCGTGTTCTTTTACCATTACCATCAAGTCCAGAGATAAAATCTTTTATACTTTTACTTGTTGCGCGATTAGAAACTCGTAAGTATGCGAGATCAGGTGAAGCAACAAAGAGCAAGAAACAAGTCGTTAAAGAAAATGCAGCAGGTCAAAGCCAACGTATACTTAAACATGATCACTCTTTCGAGTAGACGCTTGCTTAACATAATGTTTATTTTTACCGAAAAAATGTTTAACAGAGCTTATCTCTGTGCAGGCTGAGTCACAAAAGAATGATGAATCCTCCATTCTTCCTCCCTGACCTTAACATACCTCTTGACAACAATCCGGGCCCTGAAACTCTCTAAGTTGATATAACTACAACACAGCCATCAAACATCAGTATTCTTTTGGCAGCCTCACGTTCAAGACTACGCATAACTATAACTAAATATATGATATGGATAAGTCTATAAATAGATAATCATCCTCCTCATCCTCCCCTGCCATTGTCTTTGCACAAGGGAGAAAAGGACTCTAAAAGACAGTAGACGAGTTAAATAGTCTTTGAGTTTTTGCTATAATAGTTATTCTCACAAATATTAGGTTGTAGCAAGTTTTTTCTCTCGCCCTCCTTACCATTTGATTTTATGCTTATCAAAAGATTACATGTAATTTAATAGTGTGACTAGATGATAACCCGCGCCATGCGCGGAGTGAACTTCTTAAAAATATGTTGTATTTAAATACATATTTTGCTATGAATAACCTTTTAACATTTGATTAGGGATGAGTATTTGGGTACCATTTAGTTCGGTTAAATTCTGTTTGGTTTAGATCTTTGCGGTTTGATTCGAATCTTTGCAGGTTCGATTAGAATCTTTGCAGGTTTGGATAACTCATTTATTTTCTTTTTAAAGATTAATATTCATATATACTTTAAATTATTCAAAATCTAAAAATAAAAAAAAATATATAACATATAAATTTGAAAAATCAATGCCAAAATACTTAAACTCAACACAAAATTGGTTTATATTTGGACATAAATTCAATAAATATTTCAAATATTTTTGGTATTTGGAGTATCGTTTAGCTATTTTAAAAATGTACCTTTAACTATTTTATATATTTCTAAGTATTTTAGAAATTTTTAAAAAATCTCATGTATTTTGTATATTCTTAGATGTTAAATTTAAAAATAATTAATATATTTAAGTATATAAATATGGTTCGAGTACACTCGGATACCCGAAATATTTGGATTCAATTTTGGTTCTCTAGATACCAAAATTTCGAATACGTTTGGATATCTACCAATTTTTGGTTAAAATTTTTTACTACTTTTTGGATTAGATTTGGTTCGGTTATATGGATTCATTTTTTTTGCCCAACCTTATATTTTTTATTGTAACAAAAATTTAAACAAAAGGAATGATGGTTCATATGGATTTTGGGTATGCAATAGTTTTTAAACAAAACACACTCTTTATGCGCGATTCATTTAGTTAATCATTATGAACTGTTTAAGACACATTAGAAAAATGATTGGCTAAACTAAAAAATGTTATCCTTGATCACAACATTTTCAATGTGAGATTTTTATCATTTTTAGTAATTTATGATCGTTTGAAAAAAATTAAAATATAACATATTAAAAATCTAATTTTTTATTATATGATTAATATGATTTTTTAATTTGTTTTAAATAATATAAAATTAAATAAAAATTAAAGACGATAAAAAGTTGTTATCAAATCTTTATTATTCATAAACATTAATTGTGATATATATGTTAATCATATTAGATAATTCCGTAGCTTTTATCTAAGGAAAAAATAGTAAATATTCTTTTGTACGCTACTAATTAAATATGATAGTTAGTATAATAAAAATATAACATATGTTTAGTTAGACCAACATATTTCTCTAAGAGTTATGAAAATCATTCTCATTGTGACACGTGGCTACAAAAAAAATGTTGTAATGCTCCAGGATTAATATATAGGGGATTTAAACTACTAATCAAAAATTTATATGTGAACTTTTTAAATGTTTTATTAATTTATAGTCATTTTTAAAAAATTCAAAATATATCGCAAAAATCTATTTTTTTTGTTATATAGTTAATGTTATTGTTTAATTTATTTTCACAATATAAGTTTAACAAAGATAGTAGAGGCTATAAATTTTTTTTTATCAAATCTTCATATTCGAATCATTAATTGTAATATATATATTATAACCATATTAGGTAATTCCGTAAATTTTATTTAAGGAAATAATGAATTGCATTAATAGTAGTTTTATGTTTAGTTTAATAAAAAGTATATTATATGTTTATATGGACCAATATTTTTCTTTAGTAAATTTGAGAAGCATTCTCATGATGACACGTGGCTACCAAAACATGTTGTAATGCTTCTCAATTAATATATAGGGGATTAACTTATCTATTACATAGTTGATTTTATATTTTTGGGTCAATAACATACAGTAGTTGATCTTTAGTGGAAGATTCTCATACAAAAACATTTTAATAAATAAAACTGTTCGCCGGCAAGAAAAAGGTGAAACATTAACCAATTAAAATAATTTTCATCTATTTCGCAAATATTCCAAAATGGTGTATGATTTAAGAGGAGTTAAGACAACGAAGTTTCCTTCCTCAGCGTCTGGTCCAGATCTTAATATATCAGTCAAATTCATTTCTCAATCAACCTAAACCCTAAAATCTAGCTCCCAACGAAAAACCATTTCCCAATCAATCCGTAATCTCCGTAGCATCCGTTACCCCCTCTCAAACGCGAAATCGCCTCGACAAGGCTCTCGATTTTGAGGTGAAATTTTTCGAATCTCGCTTTCTCTTGGGGAAATTACTATATCGCCCTTTATAGATGGTGGTTGAGCTTAGATGAACTTTGTTGGTGTGATTGAGTATGTTTATTTTGCTTTGTGATATGTTATTTGAGCTTGAGTATGTGGCTTTGAGCTACGAACAGGAACAAAATAATTGATTTTTGATCTGTATAGGGTTTGATGTGTCAATCAAATCCATATAGTGTGGAATGATGGATTCTTCTTTGATTTGATTTGAGTCTTTAATAAAGTCTAAACTTACTATTTTTGTGCCTCTTCATGGCTTGTAAACGTGTAGGACACTTTGATGGATAACAACAATTGGAGACCTTCTCTTCCAAATGGAGATCCTGCGATGGAAACAGGTGACTGGAGAGCTCAGTTGCCACCTGATTCACGCCAGAAGATTGTCAACAAGATGTAAGTTTTTATCTGGTTGATATGGTATTATAGTTCCTTGACTAATAATTCTGTTTTTTTTTTTTTCCTTACTTATTTACTTGCCATTTGCGTAGAATGGAAACACTGAAGAAGCACCTTCCGTATTCTGGACCTGAAGGGATTAACGAGCTCAGGAGAATTGCTGCCAGATTTGAGGAGAAAATTTTCAGCGGTGCTGTTAACCAGGTAGTTAATAGGCTGCTGGATATGTTGTTGGTTGTTTGGTTAGTGTTTGGTAAATATAAATATTTGTGAGGCAATGCACTCCCAATATATGCTGATTATGGAGACTAAATATCGATGTGTACCTTCCTGATTTTTTGTTTTATTTCGACTTTCAGACTGATTACCTTCGGAAAATATCCATGAAGATGCTGACTATGGAGACTAAATCGCAGAATGCAGCTGGTGGTTCCTCGTCTATCCCTACCGCTAATAATGGCACATCCATGGATTCAAGTAATCACAATTGTTAACTCTGAGTATCCGTTTTTTTTTTTTATGACTGTTCCTCTAATTTTATGCTGTTTGACCTTTCATTGAATAGTGCCTACCAATCAAGGGAATCTTCTTCCAGGAACGTTACCAAACAATCAGTCTCAACCACCTCAGCCTTTGCTGCCTCAAACCATGCAGAACAATGGAGCCTCTGGGATGATGGGTTCTGCTTCTTTACCGTCCTCTATGCCGCCGGTTTCTTCCATTACCAATAATAACGTTACAAACGTTGTTAACCAGAATTCCAATATGCAGAATGTAGCTGGAATGTTGCCAGATTCATCTGGGCAACATGGGCTTTCATCGAACATGTTCCCTGGATCCCAAAGGCAGATGCTGGGAAGGCCGCATGCTATGTCTACACAGCAGCAGCAGCAGCAACCACAGCAGCAGCAGCAGCCACAGAGTGCACAATATCTTTATCAGCAACAGCTACAGCAGCAACTTCTCAAACAGAATTTTCAGTCAGGGAATGCTCCTAACCCCAGTTCGCTTTTGCCATCACACATACAACAACAGCAGCAGCAACAAAATGTGATGCAGCCCAATCAAATGCATTCGTCTCAACAGTCTAGTATTCCCACATCTGCGACGCAGCCCTCCTCTGTGAGCTCAGCTCCTCTACAGGGTCTCCACACAAATCAACAATCAATTCCTCAGTTACCTGGGCAGCAGACTACGACACAGTCTATGCTTCGTCAGCATCAGTCTTCGCTGCTAAGGCAACATCCGCAATCACAACAAACCCCTGGGATCCATCAGCAGCAAACTTCATTGCCGCAGCAGTCAATTACTCCACTACAACAGCAGCAATCACAAATGTTACGGCAACAAGCTGCAAATAGCTCAGGCATCCAACAGAAGCAGATGATGGGGCAGCATCTCGTTGGGGATATGCAGCAGCAACATCAGCAAAGGTTACTGAACCAACAAAATAATATGATGAACATGCAACAGCAGCAACCGATGCAGCAGAAGCAACAGCCACCGGCCCAACAAATGATGTCTCAACAAAACAACCTTCAGGCTACGCATCAGCAATCACTGGGAACTCAAAGCAATGTTACCGGATTGCAGCAAAGCAATGTTACTGGATTGCAGCAACCACAACAACAGTTGCTCAATTCCCAGGTTGGGAATTCGAACTTGCAGAATAACCAGCAGTCGGTGCACATGTTATCACAGCCAACGGGGCTGCAACGAACACATCAGACTGGACATGGCTTGTTTCCATCTCAGGGCCAACAGTCACAGAATCAACCATCCCAACAGCAGATGATGCCCCTTCAGTCGCATCATCAGTTAGGTTTGCAACAGCAACCTAATCTGCTACAACAGGATGTACAACAAAGGCTACAATCTACAGGCCAAGTCACAGGTTCTCTGCTTCCACCTCAAAATGTTGTGGACCACCAGAGACAACTATATCAATCCCAAAGAGCCCTTCCGGAGATGCCATCATGTATGTTTTGTATCCTTGTGAATGCTTTAGGTTCTCATATTTTACATAATCTCTCAGCAGAATCTGATGTTGCATTCTTATTAATTTTAGCATCGCTTGACTCCACGGCACAGACGGAAAGTGCAAACGGAGTTGATTGGCAAGAGGAGGCTTTTCAAAAGGTATTTTCGCTTTTTAAGTTGGCAATGCTTCCAGCTTCTTAGTCTTACTCAGCACCTAGAAGTATTTGGGGAGATAACATTAGTTTTCTAAATCTTCACCAATTCTGTCCACGCTTACTAAATCTCCAAGAGATAGATGCAACAAGGCTGGCGATCTAACATAGATATCTCCGTAATGAGAATATGACCATAATGTTCGTCTTTTGCAGATCAAAACAATGAAAGAGGCGTACTTACCAGATCTTAATGAAATCTATCAGAGAGTTACAGCCAAGTTGCAACAAGTAAGTTACGACGTCTTACTTGGAGAATTGGTTGCATTTATACGTCCTTCAAAATAGTAGCAAGTGCCTAATGAATTTAATGCAACATAGGTTCGACATTGCTATAGAAAGTCCTACAACTTTGGAATCTTGTTGTCCATTTACTAAAAAAAATGCTCTTGAGACTTGTATTCTTACAGAACGTCCGCTAGAAAGTAAATATCGGATATATATATATATATATATATATGTTTCTTTCCTAACCCAAAGAGGTGGTAGCTTGCGTCAATTTAATTGTTTCTTTTCTTGTTGAGTACCTTCCTTCTCTTTTTTTTTCGAGCAGGACTCTCTTCCACAGCAACAAAGATCAGAGCAGTTTGAGAAATTGAAACAATTCAAGACGATGTTGGAACGAATGATACAATTCCTAAATGTTTCGAAGAGCAATATTGTGCCTGCATTAAAGGATAAGGTGACTTTTTATGAGAAGCAGATCATAACTTTCTTAAATATGCATAGGCCGAGGAAACCAGTACAGCAAGGGCAGCTTCCGCAATCTCAGATGCAGCCTATGCAGCAACAACAATCTCAGAACGTTCAAGATCAATCTCAAGATAGTCAAGCAAATCCGCAGATGCAATCAATGAGCATGCCGGGTTCTTCTGGGCAAAGGGCACAACAGAGTAGTCTGACAAATATGCAGAACAGTCTTCTATCATCTCGTCCTGGAGTTTCAGCTCCACAGCAGAACATTCCCAGTTCCATACCAGCTTCAAGTTTAGATTCAGGCCAAGGAAATTCACTGAATAATGGCCAGCAGATCGCCATGGGATCCATGCAACAAAATACTTCTCAACAAGTAAATAACAGCTCTGCATCTGCTCAAAGCGGGTTAAGTACACTGCAGTCTAATGTCAATCAAACCCAGCTAAGTTCCAGTTTGCTTCAGCAACAACACCTGAAGCAGCAGCAAGACCAACAAATGACGCAGCAGTTCAAACAGCAGTTTCAACAGCGCCAGATGCAGCAGCAGCAGCAGCTACTACAGAAGCAGCAGATAATTCAGCAGCAGCAACAGCTGCAAGCAAGACAGCAAGTGGCGCAAAACGATATGAATGATTCGACAGCGAGGCAGGGAATGAATGTCGGCCGTGGGATGTTTCAGCAACATTCTATGCAGGGTCAGCGAGCTAATTATCCCCTTCAACAGTTAAAACCAGGATCCCAGCTTCCTGTTACGTCGCCTCAACTTATGCAAGGTCAATCTCCTCAGATGATACAACAGCATATGTCTCCTCAGGTCGACCAGAAAAATGTGATGCCTATCAACAAGATCGGAACTCCATTGCAACCTGCGAATTCCCCTTTTATTGTCCCATCTCCTTCAACTCCCTTGGCACCGTCCCCTATGCAAGTTGACTCTGAGAAACCTTCTGGAGCTTCTTCGTTGTCAATGGGAAATACTGCACGCCAACAAGCAACAGGCATGCAAGGTGTAGTTCAATCCCTTGCGATTGGCACTCCCGGGATCTCTGCCTCTCCTCTCCTTCAGGAGTTTGATGGAAATAATTTAAATCCTTTGATAAGTACATCTGGAAAACCAAGTGCCACCGAGCTGCCTATGGAACGCCTTATCAGAGTCGTAAGCAACATTACTAACTTTTGAAGGATATTGCAGCAGGATGGCGTTATTTTTGCCATCTCTCTTTTGCTAGTAGAAACATTGTTCTTGTCATGATGTAAGGTTTTCTGTTGTTTCCAGGTGAAGTCCATCTCACCACAAGCACTTTCTTCTGCAGTAAGTGACATCGGATCTGTTGTGAGCATGGTTGATAGGATAGCTGGTTCAGCACCAGGAAACGGCTCAAGAGCTTCAGTTGGCGAGGACTTAGTTGCAATGACTAAGTGTCGTCTCCAAGCAAGAAACTTCATGACGCAAGAGGGAATGATGGCAACCAAGAAAATGAAGCGTCACACAACCGCGATGCCATTAAGCGTTTCTTCATTAGAAGGAAGCGTTGGTGACAACTACAAGCAGTTTGCATGTTCGGGAACATCAGATCTGGAATCTACTGCGACTTCTGATGGCAAGAAGGCAAGAACTGAGGTATGTTTTTCAGTTAGACTTCCCTTAGATTCGGAAGCACAATGTTTCAGCTTTATTCATATTGAGACTCAATCTTATACTGCAGACCGAGCATGCCCTTTTGGAGGAAATCAAGGAAATAAACCAGCGGCTGATAGATACAGTTGTTGAGATTAGTGATGATGAAGATGCTTCTGATCCTAGTGAGGGTGCAACAGCCAGGAAAGGGTGTGAAGGAACAACAGTAAGATTTTCGTTTATAGCTGTTTCTCTCAGCCCAGCCTTGAAGGCTCATCTCTCATCAACCCAAATGGTAAGCATGGTTATATCGTCAAGATTCTGTGGAAAAGAAATCATCTCATTAACCCTTTTTCAAATATGTTGGTGTGCAGTCTCCTATTCAACCATTGCGTCTGCTGGTACCTTGTAGCTACCCCAACGGCTCTCCATCTCTCCTGGATAATCTCCCGGTCGAAACCAGGTACAAGCAAAATCCTTCAGTCCCATATAAACATAGATCCAAAATTTCTATCATAGTCCAATATCATCTAGCTCATGTCTCTAGAAACGCATCTATAAGAAACTGGATCATCTTCTGAGCTTTAACTTAACATAGTGTGGTTCTTTCGTGAACAGCAAAGAGAACGAGGACCTCTCATCCAAAGCTATGGCAAGATTCAACATATTGCTAAGAAGTTTGTCACAACCAATGTCGCTTAAAGACATTGCCAAGACATGGGACGCTTGCGCTCGGAATGTGATCTGTGAGTACGCACAGCAGTTTGGTGGTGGAACTTTCAGCTCAAAGTACGGTACTTGGGAGAAATTTGTAGCCGCTTCCTGAATATGATGGGTGTCTCTCATCATATGCCATAAGGGTATACTCTGTTGTGATTTACTGGTTGTCAAAAGTATTTAAATCATGTCAAAAACTGTAGAAAATCCGACGTTACCCTCTGTTTGTTGTATAGTGTAAGTTTGTATCTTCCACGATATGATTGAGAGCTTTATCTATAAGTCAAACCTTGTATCCTGTATAACTGAATATTTTTCAATAATGTTATGTATTAGTGAATGTTTTTCATGTGAATGTTGTTCTGTATCAAAATCCACCAAACTTTACAATGTATAATTTTAGATGATGATGATAGTCTTTAATGGGAACAAAGACACCATTGTTGAGCAGCTTCTGCTCTGTTTTCTTTGTCCCCACCAAACATTTGCTTCCTGTAAACCTGATGCAATCTCCCAAAGAGCTCCTTCTTGATGGATTCAAAGGCCATGTCCAATCTCGCTAACTGTTCAAGACCATTATGGTTATACATGAGGATATGCCTCTGGGTTTGAACCGAACTGAACCAAATCTTTTGGTTAGTTCGGTTCAATCTTTTGGTTAGATTGGTTCAGTTCAGCGGGTTTAAAAGAAAACTTTGATTTTCAGTTTAGTTCAATTATCTGTTAGTTCTATTGTTTTTTTAAATAAAAATGTCAACCGAACTTTTAACGGAACTAACATAACTAAGCAAAAAATTTGAATCGAATTAACCAAAATTACCTGAATTTGACCAAAATATAATCGAAACCAAAAAAATCGGTTAGTTTTGGTAACAAGAATTAAAAATTTGCTATCTGAATATCGAACCAAACTAAACCGAACCTTTCCGGTTTAATTCGGGAGATTTTAGTCTCTATGTCCTCGTAAAACAATTATTATCACAAAAAGACCCTAAAATTCTCTTCCTCTACACTTATCTCCTCAGGTAAGATCAAATCTTAAACCTCTCAAATCTCTCGTCTCCCCAAAACGAAAATGACAGCTTCGATCTCGACCTCATGGCTCTTATCCTCTCCTTCAAATCCAAAACCTCTTTCCACCTCAAAGTCCATCACTTTCCTACCCACAACAACCCCACAACGAAACCCAAATCGCTTCTCATCTCGATCTCCACTACCCAAAATCCAAATCCGAGCCGGAATCCGCGAGCTCCGAGAACGAATCGACTCCGTAAAAAACACCCAAAAGATCACAGAAGCAATGAAACTCGTTGCAGCAGCTAGGGTTCGTCGAGCACAAGAAGCCGTAATCAATTGCAGACCTTTCACCGAAACCCTAGTCTCGATCCTCCACTCAATCAACCAATCCGCTCAATTAGAAGACATAGACTTCCCTCTAAGCACCGTCAGACCCGTAAAGAGAGTAGCTTTAGTCGTCGTGACAGGTGATAAAGGCTTGTGTGGCGGTTTCAACAATGCAGTGATCAAGAAAGCTAATTCGAGGGTTAATGAGCTGAAGGAGAGAGGTGTGGAGTGTGTTGTGGTGAGTGTTGGGAAGAAAGGGAATGTTTATTTTAGTAGGAGAGATGATGTTGAAGTTGATAAGTGTATTGAAGGAGGAGGTGTTTATCCCACGGCTAAAGAAGCTCAAGTGATTGCTGATGATGTGTTCTCTTTGTTTGTGAGTGAGGAGGTTGATAAAGTTGAGCTTGTGTATACAAAGTTTGTGTCTTTAGTGAAATCTGATCCTGTGATTCATACTTTGTTGCCGTTGTCGATGAAAGGAGAGTCTTGTGATGTGAATGGGGAGTGTGTTGACGCTATGGAGGATGAGATGTTTAGGTTGACGAGTAAAGATGGGAAGCTTGCTGTGGAGAGGAGGAGAGTTGAAGTTGAGAGGCCTGAGATTTCGCCGTTGTTGCAGTTTGAGCAAGATCCTGTTCAGATTCTTGATGCGATGATGCCTTTGTATTTGAATAGTCAGATTTTGAGGGCGTTGCAGGAGTCTTTGGCGAGTGAATTGGCGTCGAGGATGAGTGCTATGAGTAATGCGACGGATAATGCTGTTGAGTTGAAGAAGAGTCTGACGGTTGCTTATAATAGGGAGAGACAGGCTAAGATCACTGGGGAGTTGTTAGAGATTGTGGCTGGAGCTGAAGCTCTTAGAGGGACTTAGTTAGATAGCTGTATTTGTGTTAAAACCATTTATTGTTTGAGTGATAATGACGACAAAATACTGATAGTTAAATCTCATTTGTCTCGAAGAAGACCAAAACAATACTCAAAAGTACTTGGTGGTTTTTTCTAGGATCTAGACAATACAAAAAGAGAGAAACATCATTTGGTTTTGGTTCTTTAAATGGGAGCCTCCCTAATCAACAACAACAAAAAGAGTTTTTAACCACCTAAGCAAAAAGAAAACAAGAATGCTAAAAAAGAGTTTTGAATCCATCTTCATCATCATCTTTCTTCTTCACTCAGGGTTGAGTTTAGAGGTACTTGAAGAGGATACCACCATGAGTGGCAAAGAAGGGAGCAAAGACAAGAGACTCAACAGCCATGAGCTTGATCAAGATGTTCAACGAAGGTCCTGAAGTATCTTTCAATGGGTCTCCAATGGTGTCTCCAATCACAGCTGCCTTGTGTGGCTCTGAACCCTTTGGTCCAAGACTCTTTGCATGCTCTGATACACCCGCCTGAAAACAAATCTCAACGCTTTAATGATTTGATTTCTTCTCTTAAAATGGTTTGAACTAAGCTATAAGAAAATCAATTATGTACCTCGATGTATTTCTTGGCGTTGTCCCAGGCACCACCAGTGTTAGATGCAGAAATAGCAATCTGTTTACATGAAACAAGAACGTGGATGAGAATATGTCTAAGGACATTTAGTTATTCACATTAGAACTGAGAAAAGACTATACCTGGACACCGGAAACAAGGGAGCCGGCAAGAACACCAGAGAGGGTCTCAACACCAAAGAAGAAACCAACAATGAGAGGTGTGAGCATCACAAGGCAACCAGGAGGAATCATTTCCTTAATGGAAGCATCAGTGGAGATCTTGACGCATGTAGCGTAGTCAGGTTTCGCGGTACCTTCCATGAGTCCAGGAATAGTGTTGAACTGCCTGCGAACTTCTTCAACCATCTTAAGAGCTGCACTTCCCACACTCTTCATTGTCATAGCTGAGAACCAGTAAGGAAGCATGGCACCAACAAGCAGTCCAATGATAACCTTAGGGGTCAAAACATCAACGGTGTGGACTCCTGCACGGCTCACAAAGGCACCAAAAAGAGCCAAGGAGACCAACGCAGCAGAGCCAATAGCAAACCCTTTTCCAATAGCAGCAGTGGTGTTTCCAGCTGCATCAAGAGCATCGGTTCTTTCACGGATACGGTGGCTCATTCCAGCCATTTCAGCAATACCACCAGCGTTATCACTGATGGGACCGTAAGCATCAATCGCCAAACCAGTGGCGATGGTACTGAGCATCCCTAGAGCAGCAACGGCTACACCGTACATAGCAGCAAAGCTGAAGCTAACGAAAATACTGACAGCAATTGCAAAGATTGGAATAATGACGGATTTGTAACCAAGAGCTAGCCCGAATATGACATTGGTGGCTGCACCGGTTCTGCATGAATCTGCAACATCTTGCACAGGGCTGCAACAACACAAGGACATTAGCTTTTGTCCTAATCAAATATGGAGAAAGTAGTTTCTTACCTGTAGGCATTGCTAGTGTAGTACTCAGTGACAAAACCAATGATGAGTCCAGCCCAAAGACCAACACAAACACATAGGAATAGCTGCCTGAAAATCAAAAATTGCGACACACAATTAGAATAATGCATCCTAATTATCCAGGAAGAAGGTCTGACTCTTACCAGTTCTGAACGACTTTTTGTGTTCCAAAGTTGAAGATGGTGAAGGAAGAAGGCAAGCCAACGTATGACACAACAGCAATACCAACAGTCATGATAACAGTTGAGATAATGAGCTGGTTCTTCAACGCTGGCTCAATCTCCTTAACAGCCTTAATCTCAAAGAAATCGGTAGCAAAGAGAGTTGTGATCAAACAAACCAAGATACCCATTGAACTGATTAGCAATGGGTAGCACATAGCAGTGAAATCATGGTTGATTCCAAAGGAAGAGATGGAAGCAACAACGAGTGCAGCACATGATGCTTCAGCATATGATCCAAAGAGATCAGATCCCATACCAGCAATGTCACCAACATTGTCACCCACATTATCAGCAATGACCTGTAACATAACCAACAATATTAAGTCAAAAGCTTCTAACAAACAGAGAAGCAACAGTGAAATGATGTACTTACAGCTGGGTTCCTTGGATCATCTTCTGGAATATTCCTCTCAATTTTACCAACAAGATCAGCACCAACATCAGCTGCTTTAGTATAGATCCCACCACCAACACGGCCAAAGAGAGCCATGGAAGACCCACCAAGACCATAACCAGTAATAGCCTCAAAAAGACCTTCCCAATCATCACCATAATAGATCTTGAACACATTAATAGTAATGTAAAGCACCAACAAGCCACTAGCAGCAAGAAGGAAACCCATCACAGCACCAGACCTGAAGGCAACAATAAACGCCTTTCCAACACCTTTCCTTGCTTCCAAAGTGGTTCTAGCATTAGCGTAAGTAGCAATCTTCATGCCAAGGAAACCAGAGAGAACAGATGTGACGGCACCAAGAACAAAAGCAATGGTGCTGAAAGCTGCTGTGGCTAACGCAGGCTTGCAGGTTTTGGTCTCGTCGTAGGTGCAAGGCTTGTTCTTTGTGCTGAATCCTTCCACAGAGCCGAGGAAGACAAAGATGATCCCAGCGAAGATGACCATAAAGACACCAACGTATCTGTACTCAGTGAACAGGAATGAAGTTGCACCTGTTCCCAAACACACACCAATCAGATCCCAAAGTTATTTAACTTTTCCGACAAGACTAATTCAGTTATGTTCTTTTCCGACAAGACTACATTCAGTTATGTTCCTTTTCCGACAAGACTAGATTCAGTTATGTTCTAAAACATTACAAAACATACTTAATCAATACAGAACAAGGAAACAGAGCCAGATCTAATTTAAACTACCATGAGATCTGAATCCAAAGTTTCACAAGATCTTTACCTTCGGAGATAGCTGTCTGAATCTCAGCGCACTTAGCGACAACACTCTGGTCGTTAACACCTTCCTCTTCCTCGATAAGGGAATCTTCGTAGCCATTCTTCGCACCTCCCGAAGACGAAGACGCGCCTTGGTCAGCAGAGACTCTGACTCGAGAGACGATAAACCACTGAAAGAGAGAGAAAGCGATACCGATCACCGCACAAACGGGAATTAGGATCTCAGTCCAGAGCTCCGGTAGAAAAGCTGACGCTACCATCTCCTCAGAAAATGAAATAAACGCGAGAGACAACAACAACAACACAGAGAAGAGATGGAGAGTGTTTCGATGAGACGAGATGATAATATCGTGTCGTTTTATAACACTCTTACCTCTAGAAGACTAGAATGAAAGTTGGAATCCAGTGCGGTTAGTTGCACCGTTCTTTACGCTACACTTTCTAGGATTTTTTTTTAATTTTTTATAAGAAAGCGCGTGGATCTCGTTTCAATCAGATCAGATCAGATGTTCTTCAGACACGAACGCTTTTAATCAAATATTAGCCGTTGATTTTAGGGATTAAGACAACAGCCACGTGTGCAGTGATACGTTAGCGTCCGTCCGATCGTGAATTACAGGATAAGCACTCTTATGATTCGTTGTCATCGCCTACGTGTAGAGATTAATTATGCTGAGTCATGGTATATTTATAGAAAATAATGATTTTTTTTTACCTTATTGGGTGTATTTATTACCAACTATATCATTAAATTCTCACCATAATAATTTTCAAAAGGGGATTCTATGTTACTTATTATCAGAAATTGATATGGTTAAATCTTTTGCTGATTGTTTGGTAATTACTAATCTTATATATTAAAACAGAAGTCACCATTTCACTTTATGTGTGATTTTTTTAATTTTGGACCATTTTTATAAATTTTACATATGTTAATTATGATATCTTTTCCTATCTTATTTTTATTGGAAATGTAAATAAATATTTGGAAACAGATTCTAACAAAATCCTTTTGCAATCTTTTTACAATCTTTTAGAAATATATTTCGAAAGTCAGTTATTTCAAATTTTAATTATCATCAAATAGAAATATATCATAAAACTAAATTAAAATGATATATTAATATATTTATTTTCATAAATAGAAATATTTATGTTAAAATAATATTTTATGTTGTCAAAAAGGGGTAACATACTATATATTACATGTATACAAATTAATATATCTTAAATTTATATATATACAACAATATATCATCTAAAATTAATATACATAAACAAATAACTATTTGGTTGACAAAACAAAATAAAATTTATTAAATATTTAAATATGTGATTAATATTAAAAATATATATACCCATAATAATGTAAATAAATATATAAATGAAATTAAAACCCGCTCGGTTGAGCGGGTCAAAATCTAGTTAGGATTAAATTGAAATACAGTCCATATTTAAGTTTTAAACAAAAAAACCTTATTATACTCCTTTTTCTTTTTGTGAGAGTAAAACAAATTTTGCAAGCTTATGGATAGATAAAACTTAATTTGATTAGGGATATGCTTTCTTTTGTAAAAGATACATTAAATATATGCAGGGGATCGACATCTAGGTGTCAATTAATGATAAAATAACATTCGAAGAGAATAAAAACTTTTCAGTTTTGGATTCAATTTTTAAAAGTAGAATAAACTCGTATAATGGGAATCGATTTTACAGTAGTACAGTGTACTTTAACAAACTTGATTCGACGTCGTACTAAATTTATGTTGACATTTGTTCGATTAGGTTTGATTCCAGGACTTAGTTTTTATGATTTATTTCATCTTCATACGAGGGAGACGTATTACAAGTCACCATGCAGCATACCGCAAAGCAAGAATAATATTATACGAGTTTATAATAGTGGAGGTCTTTTCCAGCGGCTATGACGTATTTTATTTGTATGTATTGAATCCTGTGCAACCCTCCAATCGGATAAACACTCTTAAAAAGTATTTTAATTAAATTTTCATTTTTTGTTAGCAATTTTTTTTGTTTTTATCAGTGAGTTAGTAGTGACCACTCATGTTTATCTTTTGTTCCCTTTTGCATGTTGCCAACGAATCTTGAAAATTACCACATCATAAAAATCTTCCCTTGTTATGTGGCTGGTATTAGGACTTGTACCATTCTGTCGCCATTTAGTTTCCTTGATATAATCATTATCCATAGTGCTGAGTATCTGAGATGTAAAAGTTGAATTCAAACCAATCCAACTAGTAATTAACTATAATTGAATAACAAAACGTAACTTGGACTATCCATGATATAATTAGAGGTGATCGTTGTCGGCATCGTAATTATAATGTTATATCTAATTAATGCAAAAAAAAGCTCACCGAAAATCGGTGTTTATATTGACAATGTCATAAAATGGTGATACATATCAGTCTATCTTATTTAAAAATCGTGGAAAATTCCATAGAAAGTTAATACTGTGGTGGAGAAAGATATACATGTTGGATTGTTTAATTTATATATTGACGTGAATTATAAGCTTAAGAACATGTGGTCCTTTAATCTATTATTTCATCCATTCCTTAGTGTCAGATAATTATTGGTATATATACAAATGTATAATATCTTGATCTTTTTTGTTCTGCATAATATTGATAGCAAATCTTGGGGAAATCATGTATTAGTTAAAAAATTATAATCGTATGTTATCGCTTTATCTTGAACAGAGAAGGGAGAGATCAGAGTGTACTAATGTAGTAGTACTACACCAACCAAACCAAGGGACCTTGCAAGAGTTAAGGAGTGGTCACATGATATTCCTGCGGGTAAGTTGGGTCCATTACCACCTCAAATAGATCGTGACCCTTTGATTGGTGGGTGCATAGGTCCCTCTCCTGACCCAACGTTCAATATCTCTCTCTAAACAATTCATCTATCTGGTTCGGTCTGACCGACACAAGTCCTGGCTAACTTAGACCATCTCCAATGGGGGTTCTATCTCATTGGATTTCTAAAATCAAATATGTGTGTATGTATGTATTATATATATGTATGTAATTGTAGGGTCCATTAAATAGTGTAGAACCCTATCCAAAAGTTCTAAAAATAGAACTTTTTAGACCATGTGCAATGGAGGTTCATGCAGAACTCTTAGCACTAATCCTTAGGATTATTAGAATATAATAATCATTATTTGCTTAATTTTCGCAAGGATTGGTCCGTCGGGAAGAGGCTTAAGAGGCTGATCCTTGATGAGCTGGCATGACGTCATTATCTCTCTTTTTCCCTTTCTCTTTCGCGCTCTCCTCTCCCTTCCAGAATCTCCTCCTCCGATGTCGGTAAGTTGATTGATCAGTAACAATCTCTTCTTTTGATTTCATTATGATATGTGACTAACTAATCGATGGCTTTCTGCAGATCTTTGAGTACAATGGAAGTGCCGTTGTGGCTATGTTTGGGAAGAACTGCTTCGCCATCGCCAGTGATCGTAGACTCGGTGTGCAGCTCCAGACAATCACCACCGATTTCTAGAGAATCTCCAAGATTCAGATCGTGTCGTCATCGGCCTCTCTGGTCTCGCCACCGATGTCCAAACACTGTAAGAAGAAGGGCTTCCAGATGTTTAATTTGCTTCATTCTCTCTTTTCTTGAACTTGTTATAAAGATTTTTGCATTTGGTGGGCGATGATGGTACCAGCGGTTGGTTTTTCGTCTAGGCATCTTCTTTTTAACAATAGGTTCCTCATCTTTTTATTAGTATTTTCATCTTCCTCCTCTGTCTCTGAAACTTGCTTCTTCTCATCCTCATCCGTTGTTGGGACTGTACTTGTAATGTTACATTCAAAGTGTCTAAGTTATGTAGAGTTTGCAGAACTTAAAGGCTTCATGTTCTTTATGATTATATTGAGTTTACGTTTTGAGTAAAACTTGTGGTTCTTTGGAAGCGAGTTTAGATTTGATTTTGCTGAGGGTTTTCGAGTTTGATTTGGTTAGTACTTTATGGTTTCAATTTGGGGATCTTGTTACTTGTCCCCGTCGGATTAGTTTTAGGTGAAGCGAGTTTAGATTTGATTTTGAGTTTAGGTTCCTTTGATGGTTTAGGAGAATAATCAAAGTATCTGTTTTTTTTTGTTTGTTTGTTAATTCGTTTTGTAAAGGTATCGGCATCTGATGCTGAACATAGTGTCACTTCTGCCTCATTGTAAGAAAGATAGTAAGGTGGAAGCTAAGAGCAGTAAAGGGGCGACTCTTAATGAGCTTGTTGAGCTTAAGGGATCTTCTTCCTGCTTGTTCTTCGAGGTAAAGTTGCCATCTTTTTTGTAGTCTGATTTTCTTAAGAGGCTTTTATAATCAAGTTTGATACATAGAAGATGGAAGAAAATCACTAAACTGATGTACTTCTTTTGTTTTTCAAATTGGGTTTCTTTGTTTCTCTGCTCTTAATGTAACATGTCTGGCTTTGCTGGTATATAGTATTGCATTTTTTTCCTAGAAACTGAAGCTGGTATGTGTTTATTTCTTTTGGTCCTCAGTGTAGGAAGCATAAAGATCTTTACATGTGGATGGTCAAGTCTCCTAGTGGACCCTCTGTTAAGTTCTTGGTTAATGCTGGTAATTTCTCCAGCTCCCTCGTATTTTGTTTCAGAATTAGTTCTTGGTGGAGCTTTATATATCTTGTTTGTCTTATGTTTCTGTAAATTTTCTATGAGTTGTGAAGTTCACACAATGGAGGAGCTGAAACTCACTGGAAACCATCTGAAAGGATCACGTCCTCTCTTGACATTCTCATCTAACTTTGATAAAGATGTACACTGGAAACTTTTGAAAGAGACGTTAACACATGTCCAAACCGGGTACTGTGTTCTCTCTTTGTTCAGCTTGATTAGAACCCATTTGATCATGCACCTGTTAGAAACATGTTCCTTCTCTGTTTTCTTCTTTCTTATATATCAAAATGTTAGTTAAAATTTTAATTTCAATTAAAAAAAAAAAAAATTCCTAAGGACTCCATCTTCGGAAACACCATTGCACAACCAATTTTGATTCAGATCCTTAACTATTTAAACAAAAACCAAAAAAAAAAATATTACTAAACTATTTCTAAGGATTCATTGGTGAACCTCACCATTGCACATGCTCTTAGAACTTTTGAGTAAGGTTCTACACTATTTAATGGACCCTACAATTACATACATATATATAATACATACATACACATATATATATGGTTTTAGAACTCCAATGGGATAGAACCCCCATTGGAGATGGTCTTATTTTCTCATTTGTCTTGACAGGTTCATACATAACTATTACATTTATTTAAAAGTCACTGTTATTATCAAAATTGACTCATAAATTCAATTATTTATCAAAATTTGGAATCATAGCTTGTTTTTCTGATGTAACCTCAAATGTTTGTCCCTCTTGTCTTGCTTGTTTTATAGTTTATCAAAGAAAGGGAAATGACAGATAATATATGGAATATTCGAGATTCGCTGGCATTTGCAGAAGTGCCTGCCAAACTTTTTTCCTTTATTACACAACTTGACTTCATTATCGTTTATGTGGGCCTCTATCTAACCATTTATAGGCTTTCACCCAAATGGTTGGGCTTTGGTGTCAATCTCTTTGTTTTTATAAAATTTCTCTGGTCTATGAAAATACAACTATACCAACACATATGCATAAACAATCATGTGGGTATCGTTCCACACACTTACTAAAAACAGTGAAGCATGGATTTACAGCTTACAATGTCAATATGTCATTATTAATTTTATAAGTCTAGAAGAACGAGTGATGTTTAGACTTATGGAGTTCAGTTTATTTGACAAGTTTACGTGACCTGCATGGCTTTTTCCTACGGGAGATTAGAGAGAGACTATGGCCTACGGGTTATGAAAATTAAAAATACGGTATCCAGTATCCACCAATACAAATCAAAGGTTAGCACGAGCGGGATGGTCAACTGAAACGCGAAAGGAAAAAAATTAATAAACGTGAACGGCAGGATTCGAACCTGCGCGGGCAAAGCCCACATGATTTCTAGTCATGCCCGATAACCACTCCGGCACGTCCACTTGATGTTATTCTAAGCCGAAGATACCTTCTTGTTATCAATTAAAAGAAACCGGATCTGGTTTTAAACCAAATTTTAGTCAGGTATGACGTATGAGATGAGTTGGACTATGGGAATAGATTTAAACTCCACCAAGAGCAGAACAAGCCAAATCCTTGACCAATACATTGAGAGCTTGTGATTGTAAGGGAGCAGGAGAGAACCTTGAAACCATCATTAATGCTTACGTATTGGTCACGATAGCTGCTCATGAATGAATGACACCATATACCGAGGTTCCATGCACTGATAAAGTGAAGAAGCATGTTCATTATTAAGCAAACCTTATTTGAATAATTTTGATAAGGTTGAGATAAGTGTTGAACCTCCACATCATCCTATTCCTATAAGTGGCGTTGACTGAGATCCACTCGTAATCTCCAGGTTGGAAGGGAAAAAAAATGATTATGAGCTTCAGAAGCACGTTCCACATTTCAAGTAGAATAAAAAAAATACAAGACTATAAATTCGCCGGAAGTGTGTTTAGTTAAATGATAGTATCTTAATTAGTAGGTTGCGTTGACGAAGATCAATTTCGTAATCACAAAATCTTATACAAAAGCTTATTGAATAGCTCTAACAGATTCAGATAATAGCGGAGAGTCGTCTTGTTTATGAATTTCATTTCACGTAGAGAGAAAAAGACAAAGAGTGGCAATCATTATAATTTATAAGCTCCGCCTGAAGCGTGATTACTTAAAACTATTATTCTTGATTAGAAGGTAGCAAGATCAATTCATAATCTATTTCCAAGTTGAACACCCATTATATTATAGTACTCCCACCATTTCAATTAAGTGTACAATGAAACTTCTATAAATTAATAATGTTGGGACTACACCAAAATTTTATTTTTTTTTATTAATTTAGAAAGATATTAATTTATCGATATACTAATCGAATCAAAAACTCAATTTGAAACTATAAAATTATATTATTTTATAGAGATATTTAGTGTATATTAATTTATCGAGTATTAATTTTATAAAGGTTCTACTGTAGTTGTTAAGAAAAAAAAATCATTTTAGAATTTCAATACATAATTTATTATTTTTATTCTATAATTTATTTTTATATTAGATGAAATCTGGTCAGATATACAAGTAATGATGATCTTATATAAATAATATGTAAAATCAAATATTTTTATAGTCCGTATGCATAATTATAAAAAAACACTTAAAATAAAACGAAAGAAATATATCCTTAGATTTGACCAAAAAAGAATATTATATCCTTAGCTAATCTCTACAAATGCACTAGGAAGCATTAGTATCATCAAAGAAAGAAAAAAAAAGAGAGAGAGAACAAAAAGCAAGAAATCAGAGGGAACAAATCAAGAAGGAGATGAAAAGAGGTAATGCAATCACAATGAGATCTTTCTTGCTGGTTGCAGTAACATCATGTGCTGTTGTTTTTGGAGGGAACGAGCTTGTGCTTGATGCATATAGTAGGCCAGTAAAGGCCTTTACTCGGTATTACCCACGCCAGGTGTCTTCGAAAGCAAATATGTGGCTTACTACTACTAACACTTCTGATCCTGAGACACCATGCCTAGAACGACGGGTAGTTTACACATCTGTTTTTTCAGAAGATGAAACAATTATGTTTATTCCAAAACAAGGCGCCTACGTACGTGTGTCAACAGAGCTCAACACTGTTATGTCACTTGACTCGAAGTGCGATACGTTGGGGATTTGGAGAGTTGCAGATAGCTCATCGAAAATCAAAGAAGTAGTCCTGACGGGATCCATGTCAAGCAATGACAGCATCTTCACCATCCAGAGAGCTCACCGGTTTTTATCCATTTACAAGTTTGCTTTTGGCAATTCAACGGATATCAGTTTCGCGGAGAAAGGCTCTGATGTTCCGGTGTTTGGGAGTGAATCAGCTTTTGTTTTCCTCCCACGGTAGCCTTTTACAGGCTACTCTTCCCTCTTGTATCCTTTTTTTTTTCTCTCTGGTATGTTTTTTCATGGAATGTTTCATTTCAAATAAAATAATCACGTACGTGAGTGCTATTTTTCTTCAAAATTTTAAAATGTATTACCAAGTAAGAGCCTAGCGCTGTAAGAAATATACCTCGATTGATACATCTGATGCTAAAAAAATTAACAGTATATGTTATAGAAGTAGTATGTTCGAGAAACTATATGCTCTAGTTAAATTTTTTTAAAATTGATAGGTACAGCAATAACAATATACAATTTTAAAATTACCATAAAAATTAGTATATAATATACTTTTATAAAAATTACCATAAAAATTATTTTTTGGATACAAATATACTTTTATATTATTAAAAGAAAATATAATTATTTTATATTTTATATATTTTAACTGCAAAAAAGATGTTGTCAGAGTGAGATGCATGAATCATCGTATACTAAAATTATGTTAAATGGTAGTCGTAGAAAATAAGCAAGCTTATTTGAATAAATTTGAAAAGGTTGAGATAAGTGTTGAACTTCCAACAAACACTTTTAGATAGAGCCTTGTGGAAACTTGTTTATGAACAGCAGAGTAACATACAAATGAAGATGAACCAGACCATCAATGTTACAAATCTATTATCGGTTAAGATTTGAAACGTTCGGTTTAGTCCTTCAGAATAGTGTGTCAAGTAATTTGGGAGATGTGAGAACCGCCACAGATTTGAACTGCAAATCCAAAAAAAAATGTCTCATGCGAATGAAGACAACAAGGATTCCTAGTATGTGGTTTACGTGTATATAAACTTACTATCTCTTGCTTATATTTAGTGCGTATAGCACTCAACGGGCAACCTTTGGTGTTACGTTGCAGATCCTGTAATGCATGGACAGCTGCTTTCAGTTCTGACGCTTTGTACGTTGTGTAATGCTCAAGTGTTGGATTCTGCATGTGGAGAAAACAAAACAAAAACAAGTTAAAGGAACCAAGATTTGTGGAACTAAACTGTGTCTGCGTACACAAGCAAACATAACAGACCCATGGGTGGTTTGATTGGTCCAATGTCCACTTAGCAAGAAAAACAGCTGATGCAGCGATGACTGAAGGAAGAAACTTCAAGAAATGATAGTCTATTAACGTCAACTCTGTTAAGTAGCTGGCCAGAAACTCCAATTCAAGGTGCATGCTCTGCAGAAGGCAGCAATCAAAGTACCTATAAATTTTCATATCTTTCTTGTGAGGCAAGCAAATAGCAAAATGAATTACCAGGTAAGAGCCTTGCGCTGCTCTGAGGAATCTCCTTAGGAATGATTTTGGAGTGGGAGTGTATACTTGAAAGCTAAAATGCGCAAGTACTTGCTTCTCCATTTCCAGGACCTGATCTCTTGTGTAGGTGTTATCAGTGATGGAGCAGAACTCTTCAACGCGTGGCGCATAGATTTCTTCATACTTCCTGCAAAGTTTAATTTTAGTTTACATCTGAGAGGAGATTTACTAGTGAGGTTGGAGAGGAACATACGAGGCAATTAGCATGCAAGTGATGCCGAGGAGTTGAAGTCTCTGTCTGTCCATGTAGTTTCCATGGAGGAACCAGTCTATGAGATGCACTGTGAGGTAAAGAGTTTCAGGTACGAGCGTGTATTCCTCTGCTACCTGTGATTGAGATGAGACTTTAGTGTGAACTTGGGACATGCATTAAAAGTTGCATCAGAAGTGGAACTAATCACTAACCTCCACAAGCCAATCAACTAGAATCCCTCGCATGGACTCAGTGACATCCTTCTGTATTCTCTCCATGAAGTCTGCAACCGGTCTGCGCCTAAGCTGCAAGGATAGAAGTGATACAGAAGCACAAGGAATCAAATTTGAATGCTTAGGCTTACCAAGGACTATTAAGCCTAGGAATTACCTCTGAAACACGCAAATTGTAGTAGATGTCAGGGGCATAGAGACAGCAGAGTAAAGGATCCTTGTCATCTAAATCAATGTCTATGAATTTTGGGATATCTGGTGCAGTTGAAGTGCCAATAACAACACTTTTCTCAACTGTAACCATTTGCAAAAAGAAAGAGAAGTTTATAAATCACTTAAGATCACTTCTATCTAACAATAGGAACTAAAATCAGATGATGATGTGTGTTTTTCAGATCACCTATAGAAGCTGATCTCCCAAGAGGTCTTGGAGGCAACCTTAAACTACAGTTATCAGCTGTGTCATTTGTGCCTTTCCCCAATCCTTGTTCCTTCTTTACCTGCTTGGTGTTGTTTTTGGCCTGAGATGGCACAAAACCCATGTTGAAGAGATGCATGTTTTACTTACACAAGATCTTCACAGATATCACAGGAAGCAAAGCATTAACAAAAAAATGAACATTATGAACGTTTAACAACCTCAGGTTTAGCTGCATTGAAGGTAACATTTGAGATATCTCCCAGAGCTGCTCGTCTCTTCTTCTTGTTTGGTGCAGCGACGTTCTTATCCTCAGAGGCTGGTCTTTTAGTGTTTGCTCTCTGTTGATTCTGTGTGGTAGAAGTGGCTTCTGAAGCGCGTAAAGCAGAGGCAAGGGCACGAGTGAAAGGACGAGAGACACCTTTTTCCTTCCCCATGTTTCAAACCCACACTAGAAAACACAGCCTTCTTGAGTCTTATAACTGCACCATCTTCATCTGATTTGTGAAATTGAAGTCAAGAGAACACAAATCAACGATTAAGGCAATAAAGAGATCATATAACAATGCATATAAATATGTTGTGAAAAAAAAGGATGGTCAACTTGAGTAAAATTTAGAAACTCATCAGCACATGATTTCTTCTTTTGGAAACTTTCCATGAGAATGGGTGCATTGAACCAAGAATATCAAGGAGAGAGAGAGATACATTACAAGTTTCAAGCTTTGGTCTCTTTTTTTTTTTCCAAACTCTGGTAAGATTCAATGGTAGTAGAATCAACAGTGATTTCATTTCCTTATTGAACAAAGTAAACAAGTGATGCAGAGAACATACGTACTACAATTTAATAGCGAAATCTACAGAAATATTACCACCAAAAACTTGGAAAAAAATCTTTTCCAAAACCAAAAATATTGGTGAATCTATAGTTTAGTCTAAGCATGAACATAAATTTTCAAATCTATATTAAAAAAAAACAAGTTAAAAGATAGAAAGTGGACCTGCTAAGCTCCAGAAAGTTCGCAGGAAGAAGAGGAGCTTTGGAATATCGAGATGGTGGATCCGCTCTTGGGGTAAGAGCGAGACACACACTAGTGTAGTAGTGTAGGTGTGATCTTAAACGATAAAGAAGTCACATTTGTATAAATAATTAAGAACTTCAAGACAGAGGAGATTATTCATAAGATTATCGAATTTATAAATTCAATATGTTATTGGTACTATCAAGAGAACAACAAAAAAAACATAACTAAATGGTTGACTTTAAGTCTTCTTCTCACTATCAAAATCTTGTTCCGACCAAACCCTTAAAACACAACTCACGTAACAAATCTCAAAATCCATTAATTCATCATTCATCTAAATGCCGTTGGGGGAAGATGTCTCCGGTAGTTGGCTAGGAGATTCTCCTGACGCCGCTTCTTCAGAGGACACAACAGGAATCTTGAGTGATGCAGCTCTCTCCATCTCCTTCTCAAGCTCTTCTTCAGACATCAGAGTGTTGAACTGTCCTTCCAGAGACTTAGCCGCGGCTAGCCAAGCAGTGACTATACCAAGCAAGATGACTCCAAGGTAAGGAGTGGAACTTGCGAGTGAGCCAAACGTGAGGATCATAAACTGTTGGATCAAAGCACCGCCTGATTTCCCCAATGGGTTGCAGACAACATCTATTGCAGCTTTGCCTTTAACCTGCAAAACCAATTACACAAATTAGAACAAAGATCAAAAGAATGTAACTACTTTTTTTTAAAGAGAAGAAGGAACAAACCTTGGTGTCTTCATCCAAAGGGATATAAGCCATTTCTTTGCAAGGATCGAACAAGCTGTACTTAGCGCTCTTGCTGAAGATGTTCTGGAGGGCACCAACGTACACAGCTGCGAGTAGCGGTGTCATACCAAGCTTGGCAACCAGTGGTGCGAATGGGCCACCAAAGAGGATCAGCGAGAAGAAGGCAACTCCGGTTAACAGCAGAACTGTTGGTGTGATCTTTGCAGCTACTCCCCAACCATACTTGTTGAATACGTATTGACTGAGAAGCATCATTGTGAATGTTGCAATACCAGTGCAGGTTGAGAAGTCACCCATAAATGCTGAGTACTCGTTCGGACTAGGGAACTGCGTTTAAAAAAGAAAATGATTGTTAGATGCTAAGATGAAAGCTAAGTAGTAACTTTCTCCATGAGGATTTTGCTCACCTGAGCTTTAAGCTTTGATTTCCATGTGACTTCAACAAGGTTGATACTAATTCCATATGCAACAACCAAAGTAGCGAGATCTCTGATGTATGGTGATGACACCAAGAACTTTAAGCTCTCCATCATTCCCATTTGTGGTTTCACCTGTAACAAAAATCACAAGAAACCTCAGAATCTATACTATTAGCTACACAAAACCATTAGTAACCATATCAGTACCTTCTTCTTCTTGCTACGGGTAGGGAGGGGGACGTATCTATTAACCCACCAGTAGAGGAAACAAATAGCTAAACCCATCCCAACAACAATACTCATCATGGCTTTCAATGAAACAGCCCAACCATCAACTCCAGGACCAAGATTTTTCCTCATATTAGAGAAGTACTTCACAGTTCTTCCTGAGAAAATAAGTGCAACATTTGCACCTAGTCCAAACAAAGGATAGAACTTTTTGGCTTCATCAACAGTTGTAATCTGTCACCAAAAAAGATTACATACACTAGTCAATATACAAATACAATAGTGAAGGATTCAAAAGGGTTCTGTTCCAATCCTAATCACCTGATTGGCAAATCCCCAGAAGAGAACTGAAACCACAACGCTACCCCAAAGCTCAGCCATGACATAAAACAAACAAAAACTCCAAATCCTCAATATAGCGAGAGGACCCATGAACCTAGGACCGAGCGTCGCAAGCAACTTATCAGCAAGAGCCTCAGGGTGAATCATGTTGCTGAGAGGGTACATAACAAACCCAAAGGCTCCAAAGTAGGCAATGAAAGGGATGATAACAGTGTAAAACAGAGCCTTTTTGGATAAAACATTGGACAGTTTAGTGTAAAGCAACATGAACCCAATAGCCATAGGGAGATTCACCCATGTCTTGAGAAACGGAATAATCTCAGCGGAGCTTCCTTTCGCCGTCACGACCAAGACGTCTTTGGTGTCTCTAAGGATTGTGTAATTGAACAGAATGCAAAAGAACATAAGCCCTAAAGGTATAATCTTTTTGAGAGTCGTGACCTCAACACCGAAGATGTTCGGCGTGGCGGCGATGGAGGAAGAGTCTCCGTCGCCGGAGCCGCCGGCGGCGGCGGCCTCCGCCTTGCAGATGAAACCTCTGTTTTTTTCGTTGTGGGAAAGCGAAATCTTGAGTGGGTTTCGGTGAAAGGATTGAAATTTGGTGTGCCCATTAGAGGAGAGGGAGAAGGGAGGTAGGTTTCTGGTGAAAGTTCTTTGCTTTAAGGCGGGGGAAGGTGGGAGGAGAGTTCTGGCACCGATGGGTTTGGTGGGTAAAGAGAGGATTCCTCGGGGTTGAATCAGACCTTCCATCTCTCTATCTCTCTCTCTCTCAAGCGAAACACGGAGAGAAGAAAGGGAATAGGAAAGGAGGAGAGGATAGAGAGATGATAAGGTGGAGGCTCTGTGTTGAGAAGAGGAGAAGGGTAGTGTGTTTTTTATTAAGGATAGTCGTAAAATATCTCAAAAGCAAAAGGGCGGATTCGTTTCTTTTTGTTTAATTGCAGTCAAGGCCCATATATTCCTAAATAATTAAGATATCGGACCCTCGTAATTAGATTTAGATCAAGTACTTCTTCAATCAAATATCTAAGGGGATTATATTCAAACTTTAGAGGATTGTATTCAGATCAATTGTTATTCACTGTTATTGAACTTAATATTTCATAAAATATTTTGATATCCATTGTTATTCAATTTTTTTTCGAGTTGCGGAGTTTTAAAGTTTAAAAGGATTCTAAGATATATGGATAGAGTTTTTAGTTCAAAAAAATTAAAATTTAACTCTTTTGGTTTTAGGTGATATTTCAGAGTGTATTAACAAAATAATTTTAAACTCTGCAATTTAGTGAAATCATCCAAAATTTCATTAAAAATTAAATTATTATGTAAGGAGAATTGTTTGTAGCTCCTAGTCAATGAGAGAAAGCTTTATAAATCCATCAGCTTGACTGATTTGTTTTGTCTATGTATTTCCCATTTTTTATAAATATTTTATCTTAAAAATGACAAAGCTTTTGATTTTTAAGCAAAAAACAAGTTTTGATGGTTTTTTGTGTGTTTCTTCTGCAGTAGATGTATTTTTATTTTAGATTTCCTACGTGCATTAGTTTTTTTTTCAGTTTTCATTGTTTAAAACTTTGTACTTATAATATTTTATTATTCAATTCAACTTTTAAAATATTTATTACTAATAGCAAAGAGAGCAAAAACTAGTTTGCAGTTGCACAAAGAGGGCTCCCTTGGCCTCTAACCACTAGACTCTATAGAATTTTGAGAAAAGCATGGGTTTTCACCACTACGAGACACCAGCCAAGGGAACAAAGAGAGATCTAAATAAATCAAATCGATAAGTTTGGAAGAAAACGAGGGGCTTTGATTTACGTGCACCAACTTGGTGAATGGCTCAATTGGTTGTTGGGAAACTGTGACGAAAGATCCCTTTACCCTTCCCTCAATTTAAACAACACTCCAAAAATTAGGCACACCCACACGTGATTGTATTCTAAAGTTCCACGTCGCATTAAAATCAGTGATGTTCGGTTTTTAAACCCCATTCAAAAAGCCCATAAAATTATCCTACACATCATCGAACCTTTTTCTTGTAAACGGATTTACCTTAAATCACCGTGAAACGCCCGTTTCAGCTCATGTACAGATGTACTGTGAGGTCTAAACTAGTCTTACAAATATAAACAATGTAGATGAGGTATCTAGCACCAAGGATCCGTGGCGCAATGGTAGCGCGTCTGACTCCAGATCAGAAGGTTGCGTGTTCGATTCACGTCGGGTTCAATCCCCCGAATTTGGTCCTTCCTTTTTTAATGGCCCTCAAAATCATTTATTTAAGCCCAGTGGACCTTCACATTACAAAAGCTGTCCAGACAAGTTTTTCTTCTTCTGTTGTTGTCTTTTTGTAGTTAAAACAATTTAAATCAGAAAAATTCAAACCCTCGTTAAACCCTAACGCCGCAAAACTTCGCCGCCGGCAACTTCCACCTCCCCCAAAAGCCATGAACTACCGTTTCCAAAACCTACTCGGCGCACCCTACAGAGGCGGAAACGCCGTCATTACCCAAAACACTAACCTCATCTCCCCCGTCGGAAACCGCGTCTCCGTCACCGACCTCACCAAGCACCACACAATCACTCTCCCTCTCAACACCTCTTCCAACATCTCCCGTCTCGCCGCCTCTCCCGACGGTACTTTCCTAATCGCCGTCGATGACAACAACCGCTGCCTTTTCATCAACGTCCCACGCCGCGTGGTGCTCCACAGGATGAAGTTTAATGGTAAAGTCGGCGCCTTGAAGTTTAGCCCCGATGGTAAGTACTTCGCTGTTGGGGTAGGGAAGTTGGTTGAGATTTGGGAGTCGCCTGGTTTCAGTAGAGCGGCTTTTGCGTTTAAGAGGGTTAGGACTTTTGCTGGTTGTGATGATAAAGTTTTGTCGTTGGAGTGGAGTTTGGATTGTGAGTATTTGCTTGTTGGTGCTAAGGATTTAGTGGCGAGGCTGTTTTGCGTTAGGAAGTTGAGAGGTGTTTTGAATAAGCCTTATTTGTTTTTGGGGCATAGAGATTCTGTTGTGGGTTGTTTCTTTGGTGTTGATAAGGTGAGTAATGAGGTTAATAGGGCTTTTACTGTTGCAAGGGATGGCTACATGTTTAGTTGGGGATATAGTGGAAAGAATGAATCAGAAGATGAGCCAATGTCTCCTGATACTCCTGAGAGGGCTGATGAGGTTATGGTGGAAAATGGCACTGATGTTAAGAAACGAAAAGAGTATGAGGGTAGAGGTAGTGATTCAGAGGATGAAGATGGTGAAGAGTATATGCATAGAGGGAAATGGGGTTTGTTGAGGAAAGATGGGTTTAATCAAGGATCAGCTAAGGTGACAGCTTGTGACTATCACCAGGGGGTGGACATGGTTGTGGTGGGGTTTTCGAATGGTGTTTTTGGGCTTTATCAGATGCCGGATTTCATCTGTATTCATTTGCTGTCTATCTCTAGGGAGAAGTTAACGACAGCTGTGTTTAATGGGCGTGGTAATTGGTTGACGTTTGGTTGCGCTAAGCTTGGGCAATTGTTGGTATGGGAATGGCGTTCTGAAAGTTATATATTGAAGCAACAGGGACATTATTTTGATGTAAACTGCGTTACTTACTCATCTGATTCACAGTTCTTGGCAACTGGTGCTGATGATAACAAAGTCAAGGTATTAAAATCACAAAGAGCTAGCTATTATGTTTACGACGCTTCTCATCTACTTCTGAAGTTAACCTTTATGTTGCAATTTACAGGTGTGGAACGTTGCATCAGGAGCATGTTTCATCACCTTCACAGAGCACACTAATGCAGTTACTGCTCTTCATTTTATGGCTGACAATCACTCCCTCTTAAGTGCATCTCTGGACGGTACTGTTCGTGCTTGGGATTTTCGAAGATACAAGAACTACAAAACATATACAACCCCTACACCGCGACAGTTTGTTTCCTTAACAGCAGACCCAAGTGGTGACGTGGTTTGTGCTGGGACACTAGACTCATTTGAGGTAATTCAACTTAGGCCTTTGCTGCTTTCAGTCACATACAAATACTGAATCACTTTTTTACTTGCCTATTTTCAGATTTTTGTCTGGTCCAAGAAGACTGGGCAAATAAAGGATATCCTGAATGGGCACGAGGCTCCCGTTCATGGGTTAATGTTTTCTCCCTTAACGGTAAAGAAGCTTTAGTAATTAGTAGTCTCATCATATTATGTTTTGATACAAATACAATAATGAGAAAACTAGCTATTTTCGAAATATGTATACCTATGGCTTTGGTTATATATCTATACCTTATCTAGATCCATATTTCATTCTCTGCAGCAAATTTTAGCTTCATCCTCATGGGACAAGACGGTTCGTTTATGGGACGTGTTTGCTAGCAAAGGCACAGTGGAAACGTTTCAACACAACCACGATGTTCTAACAGTTACCTTCCGTCCTGATGGCAAACAGTTAGCCTCGTGTACGCTAGATGGGCAGATCCATTTCTGGGACACTGTTGACGGTGTGTTGATGTACACCATAGAGGGGCGGAGAGATATTGCTGGTGGCCGCAACATGACTGACCGTCAGTCTGCAGTTAATTCAAGTTCTGGAAAGTGCTTTACAACCTTGTCCTATTCCGCTGATGGAAGCTATATTCTAGCTGCAGGAAATAGCAGATATATTTGCATGTATGACATCTCGGATCAGGTTAGCTAATTAGCTCTTTCTCGAAAGTTTGATGCATACTATTATCAAAGAAACTTACTCAAAAAATCTGTTTATATTAATTTTTCAGGTTCTGTTGCGTCGTTTCCAAATATCACATAATCTCTCATTAGATGGAGTTCTTGACTTCCTGAGCTCCAAGAAGATGACAGAAGCAGGACCAATGGATTTGATTGATGATGACAACAGCGATGAAGAAGATGGCATTGATAAACAGTCTCGGGGGAACTTGGGTTATGATCTGCCTGGATCCAAGCCTAACCGCGGTAGACCCATTATCAGGACAAAAGGCCTTAGCATAGCCCCAACGGGGAGGAGCTTTGCAGCTGCAACAACGGAAGGAGTTCTCATCTTTTCAATCGACGAGTCCTTCATCTTTGATCCTACCGATCTTGACATAGACGTGACACCAGAGGTGAGCCTTTTGTAAATTGATTTTTTTGTGTCTGGTTTCTAGCATGTGTTTGCTCTCCAAGAAGCAAAGCTAATGTGTTGTTTGTGTAGGCGGTTGAGGATGCCTTAAAGGAGGAAGAAGTGAGCAGAGCACTTGCTCTTAGCATGCGTTTGAACGAGGACAGCCTAATAAAGAAATGCATCTTTGCTGTGGCTCCTGCAGACATAAAAGCTGTTGTCATCTCTGTCCCCCATAAATACTTAGAACGGGTTATGGAAGCTCTGGTGGATCTGCTTGAGCACTGCCCTCATCTTGAGTTCTTACTTTACTGGTGTCAGGTATGCTCTCTTTCCCCCCCTGTTGATCTCTCCACAAACTACTCTTAGCTGATCAGACTCTTGTGTTTATGTGTTCAGGAAATGTGCAAGGCACACGGAAGCTACATCCAGCGAAACTACAGAACTCTACTTCCTGCATTGAAGTCGCTGCAGAAGGCAATCACCAGAGCCCACCAGGATCTTGCAGATATGTGTTCTTCCAACGAGTACACACTTCGCTACTTGTGTTCTGTTCCTAACAATCACTGATTATGTTTTCTTCACATCATCCAACTAAATTATGTCCTCAGAAATTATCACCTTCCTTTTTGGGGAAACATTTTTGATAGAAGAGTGTTGAATGCAAAACAAAATGGTGCTAATAACAATGTGTGAAAAAATGTGAATATTTTGATGATTTAGACACAATCTTTTGATTGAATATGTAAAACTAAACTTAAATACAAACAATATAAAGAAGATTATGCCTAGAAGCAGAGCTGAGTTGTCTCTATAAAAACCTAAACACTGAGTGCAATATGGATAAAAATCAAAGAGGCATCAAAACTTTGATTCACGGAGTCCATGTGGGATACACTGTCCCATGGAGCCGAAGCATCTGAGCAGCAGCACTTGCTTGGCCCCTTACACCAGTAAAAGGGTGGATGAAAGCATCAAAGTTGGGATCAATAAAGGGATGTTGGTGGTGGTGTGGATAAAGCTGATAGAGAGGTCCAGCCAGCAACAATCTCTGTTCTGCTTCCCATCTCTGAAGAGCGTTGAGCATTTCAACGTACTCATCCTCTCTATCTCGCCGCATCTGCTCCCACATGTGTTGCTCCCAAGGGCCCATCACTGGCGATATAAAACCAGGGTGCTCAGCTTTCAAATGAGTCTTGAGCTGAGAATAAGTCCCAGAGAAACGACACTTGTCCATAGAACAACACCTAGGTCTCGCATTCATGAATCTCCGCGCGGAAGTAGACTTCACCGTCCCGTAAACCTCTCCTCTACAATACGGACAGTTGAGAGTCTTGCTTGTGTTCTTCTTGTTTCTGCGGTACTGCTTGAAGCAGTTGGAGTGGCGGGAGCTTGTGTCACACATGTAAGCACGACAACCTTTGGAGAAAGAAGAGCATTGCAAGAGGACAGCATTATGAGGCGGCTCCATGCAGATGACACACCTCACATCTTCCCATTCACTCACACTCTCTGACACAAGTGGTGACTCTGCTTCTTTTTGTTTCTTGCTCCTACAAGAGCGGAGCGGGTAAGGAGATACCCTGTTTCTGTTGCTTGAAACCGGTAAAATCTGTCTTTCCTTAAGCATCTCACAACTCTGTAAACAACATTAAAAAAAAGAGTTAGAACTCAAATCTATTATAGAGAAAGGCATAGATACATAAAAGTTACATTTATCTACAAATAATAAACAAAATAAGTAGCAGGTAAGATGATTATAACTCAAAACAAGAAAGATAATGATATTCAATTAAATTTTGAAAACTATTCATTTCATCACAAACAGTTGTTAAGACTTGTAGATCCTCTAATCAAAACATTAACATTTGATTCTGTTGCAGATTTCTAAGCAGGGAAACAGATCAATTCGATTACAATTCAACGGTTCGATGAACTTTTCCACCAAAACAAAACAAAACAAAACAAACGAGAAATGGTTGGCCAGAAATTTTCTGATCAAATCCGCAAAACCGCCTAAACCACAGAACGTGGTGGGAATCGAGAGAGATTCATCGCCCATAGAAAGAACACAAAATATAATTAAAAAATGTTACCTGAGGCTTTTGAGAGAGAAAAGTAGAGAGAGAGAGAGGGGATCGTAAAGAGTTTCGTATGAAACGGTGAAGATGTTGAGAAAACAATTACTAAAAGATTATGGATACGCGTGCGTGAATGTGAAATTGTGTTGTGAGGTCTGGTTTTTATAGGCGTCGTCGAAACGTCTTTTCAGACATGACGAAAATGCCCTGGCTGTTCTGTAAGTCCACCTTCCTAATTAAATCCACATTTGTCTTTTTGACTTCTTTTGCCGTTACTTTTCCTTTTAAACGGCTTCTCAAAGTTTTCGTGCTCTTTTTTTTTTTTTTTTTTTTTGCCACATTCAATACGTGTCGCACGAAATACACATTAGTTCTTAGTTTCATACAAATCATGAGCTATATTTATGGTAGTATTTATATATTCAAATCTGTTAAAATATTAATATAAGAACTCGATAAAAAAAAAGATTAATAAGAATTTAGATTCGTTCATATTTGTTGCATATATATAATAATTAAAAACAAACATAATCTCAAAAGTCATGTGGTTTATATATGTTGGTACTCTGCAGTCAATTCTTATAGATACCTTTACATCTGTATATGTATGTTTACTGTCATTCTTATCCAACAAAAAGAAAAGATAACAAACCATATAAACCATAACGTTAGCTTTTGGATTTTAAGTTCAATTTTTTGAAAATTTAAAATAATTTATTTTTGGTCGTATTTCCAAAACTATGCTCCTTTAAGTTCACTGAACTTTTTTCTTTCATATAGATTATCTTTCTTATTAAGTTGGGTGAATGAAAGTAAATATATGTTAAAGAAAATCTATAATCAAATTAGCAATCATATATACAGAGTATTTTTTCTTTTTTGAGCAAAAGCTTTTCAATACATAATATATTTTGACAAAAAAAAGAAAGAAAATCTACAATCAAATTACCAACTATATATTATATATACATAGTATTTTTTTTGAGCAAAGGCTTTTCAATACAGAGTCTTTCTCTCCTTGTGATCAGGTATGTGTGTAAGGTGAATAAGATTATCTTACATACATGTCTAGTATAAACGTACATACCATAATCCTTGTATACAGGTGTAAAGTCACCAGATTATTGAGCATATGTAACAATACCATTTTTGCTTAATAAAAAGTAAAGCAACAAATGGTGCGATCATACCAGCACTAATGCACTTGATGTCAAAAAAAAAAAAAAAGTAAAGCAACAAATAAAAATTTATCGATAACAATCATAAACTTAGCCCAACTATAGAGTCATGTCGGCCCAATAGAGAAAAAAAACACTTCAACCCACCAATCCGACCCGACCCGTAGCTTTTAACAGTGAAGTAGTGGAAACTTGAACCCTAAACCCGCGTCGTCGTCTCTCTCCCTCTCTTTCAGCTTCTCTCTTCCATCGCCGACCATGGCCAAGGAGAAACTGAAGCCTCTTCTCACCTCTGATAAAGGTTTGCACTTAGCTCAATCAGCTCATTCACACGTTAAAAACACCTTACTCATCGTTGTGTTTTGTATAAATTAAACAGGTGGAATCGCCGAGACTCCTCCTCGAGAGAAGAAGCATAAGAAGAAGAGCAAGAAGCGAGCTGAACCTGATCCCGAATTGCCTTCAACGCGTGGTTCAGGTAAGAGATAATTCAAAGTTTACAGCTTTTCGTTTGTGGCTATATGGTTAAGCTTAAAGCTATGGACTTGTTAGGCTAGTGATTTAAAGGATCCATTTTTACATTAGGGTTTCTATCTGATGTTAGGTATTGATAAAGATAGAGATGGAGTGTTGGTAGACGACGCTAATAATGAGCCCACGATGGGTGATAAGTTCGAGAGTCTTAACTTATTAGGCGGAGATAAAGTTTCTGCTCCCGGTGATGATAAGCCTCCTACTGCAGCCTCTGTTAATGTTCTTTTGAGACAAGCATTGCATGCTGATGATCGGTCTCTTCTACTTGATTGCTTGTATAATCGAGATGAACAGGTTTTGGAAGATGTTCTCTGTCTGTTTCTTTACCTTCTTAGCTGTGTTTTTTTTTAGTTCTTGGTTTGTTCTCAAGTCTTCGAGTTCTTTATGCTTTTATAGGTGATTGCTAACTCGGTTGCTAAGTTGAATTCAGCAGAAGTACTCAAGCTTTTGAATTCTCTTCTGCCGATACTACAATCAAGGTTAGAGTTTGAAGATATGTTTTGTGTGTATGTGTGATCTGTTATAGTGGTGAGTTCGTAATATTTTCTTGGTTTGCAGGGGTGCGGTATTAGCTTGTGCAATTCCGTGGATAAAGTGTTTGTTACTTACTCATTCCAGTGGGATTATGTCCCAGGAGTCATCGTTGCTAGCATTAAACTCCATGTACCAGGTTAGGAACTGTATGAGTTTATTTTTACGACTGTGCTTTCTGTGGCAGCTCTGTTAGTATAACAGAAAGTTAGGGGATATGATGATTGATATGTGTGTTTGATTGGTTGCGTGTGCAGCTCATCGAATCACGGATATCAACGCTTCACACTGCTGTACAAGTTTCAAGCGAATTAGACTTGGTATGTGTCGTATTGCCCTGCAAACGAGGAAGGTTTTGATTTCAATATTTAAACTAGGGGTAGCATTAGGTTTGTTGTTTGATTCCATTGATCACTTTGGGAATGAAATAACGCAATAGAAGACCTGATGTCGTTTTGCTTAGATAACACTGACATTTGGACTAACTGATTCGTCATTGGTTGTGATTTTGGTAGATTGTGGACGACTTGGATGAGGAGGAAGAAGATGAAGGTCCTGTGATCTATGAGGACAAGGACAGTGATGAAGAAGGAGTAGTAGCAGAGGAAGCAATGGAGACAGATGAAGAGGCAGACGAATCAGAGGATGAAGCAGCTGATGGTGTCAATAGTTTTGAAGATTTTGACGACATGAGCGATTGAGAATACTTCCTGAAAACAAAAAAGTTTTGATTTGTATGAGGCTGATTGACTGTTAGATGCTAAAAGGTACAATCTCAACGTCAAGAAGTCTCGGCATGAAATTTGTAATACGCAATGGTTGTATCAATTAGACTGTCTTGAAAAAAGAGTTTATTTTTCATTATGAAAAACTTTGACGCCAATATTAAAAAGTCAAGCATGGTTTAGTAAACGATGGATCATAAAAGCGAAAAGCATTCATGAAAAATGGAACACCATTGAATATATTTTCTTTTCTCACAAAGATAGAGGATAATGTTTGAGAAGAAGTAAGAAATGGCGAGCGAACAGAATGAAAGAGTTCAGTGTGAAGGCCGGCCAAAATTGTGGACCTAAGTCAATCGTCTAGTTCAGTTTCTCCATTACTTGTCACTTATTATTAAAGAAGTGTACAAATGAAAATTTTAAATGTTTGATATCAGGTGAAAAGGGATGATTGCAAAGTAGACAACACCAACTCTTCTCAAGCTTCAGGCTTTCTCCAGAAGGTTAACTAACACATCAACTCTACATGTTTTATCTTCTCTAAGTTAAGTAAGAAAGGTGATTTATTTAGAAGAAATGGGAGAAAGTGAAGAGCATGGCACATGGAGTATCAGAGGCAGTGAAGAGCAAACTGGAAATGAACAATGACAACGACAGTGATTATAAGAACAAGAACCCTTTTCTAGTCTTGGGAGTGATCTTTCTATCACAAACAGTGGTTCAGACTTGGTAATTCCACCCCAGCACAGCTACTTTTCTTTTCATATGTTTTTATACACAAGACATCCACAATGTCCAACTAAGGATACACAAACTTAAACTATGGATTCATCCTTAAGATCAGCAAAGACTCTGCCCATTTGCTGGCAAACCTTGCAAGTGCATCCATTGGATCACAACACTTCTATAGCAGAAGATCATCCCCTGGCAAGAGGTCTGCATCTAATCTGACCAGAGCACACATTCACCGCCTGCACCAATAGTACCTTGGATTCAATGCTATCCTCAGAAGGTTCCGTGCTCCTTCAGTGTCATATCTCTTCATCGCTTCTATGGCTTAGATCCCCATGTACTTCCCTTATCTCCTTGTCTGGAAGCACCACCTCAAGTCAATTGAATTCTCTAGAGACGTGTCATTGTGTTTGTAAGAGATCATGAAGCAAAAAAAGAAAATTTGATGACGATGGCAAACCCACCTTCTATTTCCTCCCACATCGTTTTATTAACTTAATATTTGTTTGTTTAAATAAGTCCTTAAACCAGCTATTGTACGTCGAGCTCAGTAACGAGAGCTTGTAATCCAAGTGGGGACAACAAGTTGGTGGAACACTGGCTCAGTCAAGGGGTCGGTTCTGTTGTGGCATTTGCTGGGCTGCCCAGTCCAAGCTGAGAGTGGTCCGTGTGTGTTGAGCGAAAGCTTGGCTCAGGCGTTTCCTAAAGTTGGAGGGTAATGCGTGAGGCTGGTTTCACAGAGCAGCGATTACTTCCCGCTTTCAGCAGTGGTCGGATCACGGCTCGACGCCTTTCAGAGCCACCATGGCCTCCTGGTTCGTACCCAGATGAACCACCAATTTTTTTTTATGTTTTTATTATACAAACATTTTCTTTACAAGATAACATTCTAATATAGATCATGTTTCATCATGAAAAAGTCAAGTATGGTTTGGAAAACGATGGATCATAAAAGCGAAAAGCCTTCCACCACTAAATATAGAAGACAAATTGTCTACAAAGACATGACTGGTAAGAGGATATTGTTTGACAAGTAGTAAGAACTGGCGAGTAGAAATGAAAATTTTGATGTTTGATATCAGGTGAAGAGGGATGATTACAAAGTAGATAACACCAACTCCTCTCAAACTTTAGGCTTTCTCCAGCAGGATAGGTAACACATTAACTCTACATGTTTAGATTTTTTTGTTTGGTTCTCTGTTCTATAAGAGAAATAAGAATGATGATTAACAGAAAGGGGAGAAAGTGAAGAGCATGGCACAAGGAGCATCAGAGGCTGTGAAGAACAAACTGGGGATGATCAACGACAATGATAATAAGAACAAGAACCCTTTTGACAGGAAGAATCTTAATAACAACAACTAGCCCAAACATACTTGTCTGTAATAACAATAAGGGATATCACACAATGCATCCAACACAACAGTACATGTTCAAACTTATTTGGCTTTGCTCACACTTGTGTTGACCAAAAGTAAAAAAGAACAAGTTTTGAGACTTCGGTTATAATCTTGAGAATGATCTTTCTATCAGAAACGCTGGTTCACACTTGGTAATTCCACCCCAGCACAGCTACTTTCTTTTCAATGTTCTTATACACTAGACATCCACAAAGTCCAACTAAGGATACATAAACTTAAAGTATGAATTCATCCTTAACATCATCGACTCTAACTCATTTAATGGCATACCTTGCAAGTGCATCCATTGGATTCTATGGCTGGGATCACCGTGTGGTCCATTTTCTCTGTGTCTGGAAGCACCACCTCTAGGCAATGGAATTCTCCAGAGACGTGTTGGTGTGTTCGTAATAGATCTGCAACAGGGGATGATGATCTTCTGAAGATGGACAGAAAATGCAGAAACAGTTTAGGGTAGATATGAATGGCTGAGAAAAGCTCCCACTAACACATAAACAAAAGCATACAAAAAGAGATTTTAGTGAAGGAGAAACATGTAGAGGACTAAGCAGTAAGATCAGATTCTATAGGAACCAAGTTTTTCATGTGACCCAAAATTGATTTGGACATGTAAAATGAGATACACGTAGCATACTAGCGTATTATTACAAGCTTCTGCATTCGAGAAAGTAACAGAATCCGGATGAATGTGGTACCTGCTGAAATTTTCTAACATTCATTTTCTCCCACATCGGTTTTTTAACTTGATATTGTTTTGTTTAAATAAGTCTCTAAACCAGTTACTGTACGTCGAGCTCAGTAACGAGAGCTTGTAATCCAAGTGGGGACAACAAGTTGGTGGAACACTGGCCCGGTTCAGGGGTCGGTTCTGTTCTGGCATTTGCTGGGCTGCCCAGTCCAAGCTGAGAGTGGTCCGTCTGTGCTGAGCGAAGGCTTGGCTCAGGCGGTTCCTAAAGTCGGAGGGTAATGCGTGAGGCTGGTTTCACAGAGCAGCGATTACTTCCCGCTTTCAGCAGTGGTCGGATCACAGCTCAACGCCTTTCAGAGCCACCATGGCCTCTTGGTTCGTACCCAGATGAACCACCAATTTTTTTTTTGGTTTTATTATACAAATATAGTCCCCTATTTTTTGAACACTATTTGCTCCTGTTTTAAAAGAAAAATTCATCTTATTATTGTGATTTAGAAGATAACATTCATACTTTACTGATCTTCTTGGTTCAAATAAAAGCAGGAAAGTTTACCGGAGAGGCGACAATGGGAAGAGAGGGCGTTGACTTAAAAAGAATCTAACTTCCGATGCTTAACAGTAATTCTCAATATTGTAAAAAAATGGTCAATTTTATTTAGTTTTTTTTTTGAATATTGCTTCCTTGTTTCTCCAAATTATTAAAAATATCTAAATGAACTTAAGTTTAATATGCTAAAATGTCAAATATAGGCGAAAAAGGTTTATTAACCACTAGGTAGTGACCCGTGCCCTGCACGGGGTGAAATCCTAAATAAATATTTATGTTATATAATTGTAATTTTGTTTTAAAATTTTAGTATTGCATCATTGATTTTTTCATTTAATAAAAGGGAAAGTTTAATTATTTTGGCTTATAATTAAAAAAATATATTGCCCGTTCCTTGGGGGTAAATTAGAAAGGTTAATTTAGTTTGTGTGATAAGAAAATCACTTTTTTTTTTGGTTTGACAGGAGTTGTGAGCCCTGGTTGTTAGTAAACGAAGAGAAACAAATTGATTACAAAAGTTAAGGGTCACTTTTGTTGGGTCGAGAAAACTCCAACATTTAATGATGGACCAAAATAAAACCAATCCAATGAGTATTGGATCAGGCTTTACAACCGTGATACAGAGTAAACAATCTGAATGCATATTTCTATTAATTTTTATCTTACTCGGTTGCACAAAAGAAATATCTTACTCGAAGAATCAAAAATAGCGATGAAAGGGAATTAGGTTTTCAACCACAAATTCAATCGTCTCTCCTTTCATCACTTATCACAAATTCACTCGGTTCGATTATTCTTTTGATCAACTCAATTCTCTGAACAAAAAATTTCTACGTGTCTCCTTCACCAAAACTGTCAATACATCCCTTCGTATTTCTTCAGACACAAACCAGTAGATAGCAAACGAAGAGACGTCCTTACATATGTGGTATTGGTAACCATATCTCCACCTACATATATGACAATAAAACTCAGGTTAGTATCTTCCTTGTTACATAGTTCTGTAAATTAGTTAAAAACTTTTTATCTTTAACTTGAGATGACCATGCCGTTAGTTTTGGTCGCTTGTATCCGCATGGTAGTTTAGTTTTTAACGTTAATTGATCGAAACTTCCCCAGTTGAGAATTATTACATTATTAAAGCTTGAAAAACATTAAAATAAATACAAAGTGCTTATTTATTTGAAAACGAAAGTATAAATTCCCAATTCACTTGATCCTCAAAAAGCAGTGAGTGAGATCATGAAAAACACAAATATGTATTAGTATAAGTCTATTGTGTGTAATCTATCATTATAACACAAACGTAAGAAGCAAAGATCATTTAGACTTACTTCTTTTTGAAGACTTTAGTTTCTTGAACTTTAGGGTCGAGCAAAATCTATGAACATCTTTCATAGTTTGTCATTTATTTGAGCCACCTGATTACAGAAATAAAATAAGATGTATTACCTATACCAACTGTATACATAAATAGCAAATTGTTGCTTAAGGTTTATAAATTTCACCTTGAACTTCCACATGGATTTGTAAGGTTTCAGATCGGAGATGGAGTTGATAGCGGACCTGTTTTGATAGGCTGCTGCGGATTTCTTTTATTTAGGTTGGGAAAAGATGATACTTCGTTAAGATTAAGCTTGGTATATATAGTAGGGATATAAAGGTTTAATGACAGAATATATATAAATCAATTAATGTGACACTAAATTGAAATCTTTTGTAACATTATTCAACTTATCAATTAATTCATGCTTTAATTTGGTAAGTTTATAATAAATGTGGTCCACCATAAAAATTTAATATAACACAAATTTAAAATTTTACTTAAACACTACAATTTGATTTCCTAAAATGTAGCCTTGTTGACTGTTATATATTATAAAGTTATTTCTGATCGAAATACATTTATTAATCATATTGCTTGGAAAGAAGTCATAATATGTATTTGTTCTTTAATACACCGTAAAATAGAGAAGATTTTCTTTATGCCAAAGTAAAATGGAATTCCAAAACAAGAATTGAGCGGTTGCAGACGGAGTTGGATAAAGAGAGTTCAAAGCAATTCCCAATTTATGGTATGGTAAGGAGATTACGACATGATCTGGCTGTGGCGTATCGGGAAGAAGAGATTTTTTGGAGACAAAGGAGTAGAGAGGAATGGCTACGGGAAGGTGATCGAAATACTACTTACTTTCATAATGTGGTCAAGGGGAAAAGGATGAGGAATAAAATATTGATGCTAAAGGATATTTTTGGTAATGAATTCTTTTCGGAAGGATCAAAAGGTCACATTGCTACAGAATACTTTAGAGATTTGTTTACAAGTTCTAATCCGAATGACTTGGAAACGATATTTGAGGGTTTTGAAACAAAAGTCACCTCAGAGATGAATATGATGTTAATTAGAGAAGTTTCCCTTGACGAAATCAAAAATGCGGCTTTTGGTATTAAAAGTAGTAGTGCCCCTGGTGAGGATGGTCTCACAGGTTTTTTCTACCAGAAATATTGGCACATTGTGGGGCCAAAAATTTCTGAGGATGTTCAAGGTTTCTTTAAAACGGCCATCCTTCCGGAAGGATGGAACCATACACAGTTATCTTTGTTACCAAAAATATTAAATCCTACGGAGATGAAGGATATGCGTCCCATTAGTTTGTGTAGTGTTCAATACAAGATTATATCTCGCATTCTATGTGATCGTTTAAAGGGAGTTTTGCCTAATATAATCTCGGAGACTCAAGGGGCTTTTGTTGGAGGTAGGTTAATCACAGATAACGTTATCATAGCTCATGAACTGGTCCATGGGTTGCGTACGAATGAAAAAATTGGTAAAGAGAGTATGGCTATCAAGACAGATATGTCAAAAGCTTATGATAGAGTAGAATGGAATTTCCTTGAGGTGTTATTGGAAAAAATAGGATTTCACCGCAAATGGATTGTATGGTTAATGTCATGTATCACTACTGTTACTTTCTCGGTATTACTTAATGGACGTTCTCATGGGTTTATTAAACCAGAAAGGGGGATTAGGCAGGGTGACCCTTTATCACCTTTTTTGTTCATTTTATGTGCGGAAGCTTTAGTTCATGTATTAAACAGAACAGAAGCAAAAGGTGAATTACATGGTATAAAGTTGGCTAAAGATAGCCCCTCCGTACACCATTTACTTTTTGCTGACGATAGCTTGTTGTTATGTGAAGCTTCAGTTAGAGATAGTGAAGCGATCTTAAGAGGTTTGAAAATTTATGGAGATGCGTCAGGACAGATGATTAACCCTTTGAAATCTTCCATTATTTTTGGGAAATCGATAGCAGCGGACACTAAACATGCTATAAAACAGGTCCTTGGTATAGAAAAGGAAGGTGGAGAAGGTACCTATCTTGGTCTCCCTGAATGTTTTCAAGGTTCTAAAAAAGATCTCCTAAATTTCATAAAAGAAAAATTAGAGGGACGGTTACAAGGGTGGTATTCGAAAACTTTATCGATGGGTGCTAAAGAAGTTCTGATAAAGTCTGTGGCTCTTGCCTTACCAATTTATGCAATGTCTGTTTTTAGATTACCGAAAGGTCTTTGTGAACGGATTACGAGCGCGATTATAGAGTTTTGGTGGAGTAGTGGTGATAAAAAAAGAAAGATCCCATGGGTGTCGTGGGAAAAGTTATGTAAACCAAAAGAGCAAGGGGGTTTGGGGTTTCATGACATTGGT